TATTGTACATTAATAAAAAAAAACAAGAACTGTCTACGTTTAGAGACGTATTTAAATACTATTGTTTGAACGGCAGATAAGAAATTACATACTTTGCATGCATTTGTGTGAAAAAACAACAGTTATGATTTAGAGTACTTTATAATTTTCGTTATTCATAACAGGAAATAAAAGCCGTACAACTGGAAGACAGTCTAATTGAAGGCGAAGGTGAAATGGATGTATCGGACTCAGAGGAGGAACCTCAACGTAAGAAAACACGCAATCAATTGGACGGTAATCAAGAAGATGTCGAGAGGCTACAGAGTCTCAAAGAAGAGAACGACAGTCTGAGATGCCAGTTGGAAGCGTATAAGAATGAAGTGTGTATTATTGTGAATCGATTTGGTGACACCGGGGAATTTTCCGAAAAGTTTCTAATTATAAATCTTTATAGGTGGATCTTTTGAAATCGGAAACAAAAGTCGAGATGGAAGGAAAGGAGAAGCAAATGAAGATGTTACAGCAAACGCTGAAAGGTATGCAAGAGCAATTGATGCAGTCGCATAAACAGCAAGTACAGGACGATCAGAAGATCAAAGACTTGACTGTCAAGCTAAATGCTACAAAGAAGGAAGAGCCCAGAGAAAGTGAGATTATCACACTTGACAAAGACGACGATATTAGTGAGGAGCCACGCACACCGAAGCAACACATTCTCGCCTCCAATCTCGTGCAAGTCACCCAAAAGGATGCTAAACTTATTGGTAACATCAATTTCAGAAATAATTGGAAAATGATTTCTTTAAAATGTCAGTCGTAACTTTGCTAATATATTACAAACGTTACAGGACTTATAGCGACATTTCTGCATATCCATCCGTTTGGTGCGAGCGTGGATTATTTATGGTCCTATCTGCAGAAAATGGAGCCCGGCATTAAACCAAGTGAAGTTGAAATTTTAATGCAACGTTTTCCACAAGTCTTCAAACAAGAATTGTTCGGTATTGGTGCAAATATGGAGAGACGTTGGCAATTTTCAGGTTTTAACGTTTATCGCAATCATTGAATCTAGACGATTGAATGTAAAAATACTGTGAAAGTAACATTTGTCTTATTGTTCCTCTCTGTCTCTTTCGTTATTTCGCGAGTGCAATTGAAATCTCCATGACAAACGTACGAAAACAATGAAAAATTCGACGTCGTGGTGAATTAATAAAATATCTTTACCGATTCTTAATTTTAACGATATAAACAAGTATCTCTTAATTTCTTTTAGAAATATATAAAAGTAACTTGTGAATAACATTTAACAATTTATTTTTATTTAAGGAGATCCTAAAGTGAAACTTGAGCTCCGACGAAATCTATGTTTACCGAAAAAATACGATACATAGATACATCTTTATTACTTTATATTACCACACACATACACACACACCAATATCTCACACACACACACACACACATAAATTTTTGTAGAACAATAGCGTTTTAATTAGACGTCTTAATCTAATTCTAAGAATTTCACGTTATTTGTTCATGTAAACTACTAATTTGTGGACCACAACTTCGTAAGTACAGATTGCAAAGCTTTATCAAGCAAATACGACATTGATAGCTCTGACGTCATATTAGAGTAAGAAATGGTAAAGATCTTAATTTAAATTATTTTTTCGTTCTTGGCATAAATTCTATCTTACAGACACGTATTAATGCATATACTTTAATCCTGGAAAAGAATTTTTTAATTTGTAAAGGAGGAAAAAAGTAATTGTTATACAAAAAGTATTACGTTTAGTCGATAATACAAAATTAAAACAACAATTAGAAAAGAGAATATGACGCATAACGTGATAGACAAATTTATTACATAATTGCAAGTTTAATTAAATTGTAGAGAATATCTGAAGAGAGATTTCTTCATTAGTTATCAATTGATGTATTGATAATATACAAGCATTTATATATCTAACGGGGAACTTTATAGAAATAAATTCTATATAAGAAAAAAAAATTAATTTTCCCGGACGGATTCTGTTTTCGTATTAACAGAGCGATAGAGATGGTTGTCTTCAAATAAAGCAGAGAAAATAGTTTTGGCTGCCTTGCATTATCAAACCGAATAGCGCATGACTGACAAGTTAAAGCCCGTTATACATGTACAACGAGTTTGTCCGCGATATCGATTGGCTAATAAATACTAAGGGCAGTATTCATAATCCGTTTTTATTTTAAGATTGTCTTAAGATGCTAATATGACTTTCTGATTTCTGGTTCATGACATCTTAAGATTGTACATACTTACATCTTAAATATATTATAAAAATCGACTATGAGTACTGGCTTAAATTTTTAAGGTATCTTTCACTATAAATGCTTTGATGCATTTAACCGACCAATCAAAGAATGCTTCAAAGCATTTGTAGCGTTTCGTTGATCGTGCTTCTAGAATAACGTATATAATGTAGAATGGCCAACCCTTTGCTTTGGAAATAGGAACAATTCTCCCGTTTGAAAATGGAACCATCCGGACGATCTCCTTTCTTTTGTGATCAAAGTTTATCTCTAGGGGATTCCCTGTATCGTACTTGAGACGGTATAAATGCTGCAGTCAATACAAACTTCACTTCATTTTATTCTTTAAAACCGCCGTGATCGTGCTGAAAGTATCTCTTGGATCCTTGATTAGTTACATAGATTTTATTGAAGACTCCAATATTCTCAATCTGTTTTATTTAGTAAGGCTTTATCTTACTAAAAGCTTTATCTTACTAAAAAGTGAGTATTTCATCTTATTAATATCAATTTATTAATTGATTTTACTCCTAGTATACTTTTTAAAAAATTAATGATTTTTTATGATTAGAATCAGTTGAAGGATAGCAGCAATTCTATATAAAATTACAACAGTGCGTAAAATAATAGTTTATTAAAAGTTTATTAAAAAAGAAAACCATTTATTATTAATATATTCACATAGAAATTTATTCAAGTGTCTGTAATCTAAAGAAAAGACGTATGGGTGCTGTTATACTTCGTATATTGATATCTACTGAAAATATTAAGGCTGTATGTGTGTTTAATATAATTTAATTTTAAGACATTAAATTGAAACTTATAACGGCTTTTTTGAATAAATAAATTATTATTTAAAAAAAAAGAGCATGCGTACAACCGACATCAGATATTATTGCAAAATTATTCTATTATATTAAAATGATTAATTTAAATACATACGTTTCGATCTTTTTTTATCAGATCATTTTCAGTGTTTACAATAGTATAAATAAATATAGAGAACCTTTGAAAACGCAATAAAAATTCAAATCTTATAATAGTTAACAGTAATGATACAATTATCTTAAAAAATTGTCTGTTATATAATTCTACTGTCAAACTATTGATCGCAATTCGTCGTACATACATTTTGCAGTAATCATGGAATTTTTTAACGTTTTAAAAATTGTTCTTAAAATCTGCTTCACAACCAAATGCCAGCCACTTTAAACATTTGCATTGCAGTGACTTTTTGAAGTGACATACTGAGAAAATGAGTTAAATCACAAGTTTTTTATAAGTTCTGTTTTTTTTTACTATTCTTGGACGACTTTGATAAAAATAAAAAATTTTTGTTGTTTTTTAACAAACCATAGAAATGTTGAATTAATTCAACATTTTATTAATGTAATCTTTCAGAAAATAAATTCTCAATTTAACTTTACACTGGTTTTCATAATTTTCATACAACTTTTAATATAAATTTTTTAACAATTTTTTATACAATTTTAAATAACCTAACAGCATTATCGAATTGTGTCCTTATGAAATTAAAAAAGATGGAATGTAACGTATGGATTGACGTTAACGCTTCTATTTTTAATTATTTTAAATTGAAATTTATAACAGTTTGTTTAATAAATCAATAATTTCTAGAGAAAGGAGTATAAAATCCGCAATAATATCTAATGTTGATTTTATGCTCCTTTCTTTGCTAATTAAAAAAATTAATTTTCGTTTTATTTTTATGTAAATTAAAAATATTTAATTTGATTCTCCTCCCTCTATCATGATGTATAACTTAAGTCATCTATTTTAACAATTGTAGTACAGTGTGTAGTGTCCAATTCGCGATTGAAGAATCTATATATCTATATAAAATAACACGATAGATGTGTACATACATATACATAGTTTATTTCTGAAAAGATGTAAAAAAATATTTAAAATTTTTTTTTAAATAAAATGATGTGAAATATTGATAAATTTCTTGCAAATTCTTATCTTTTAATCAATTTATTTAATGTTATATTCCATTTTTTCTTTTTCTTTATTATTCTTTAATCAAGTACGATGGACGATTAGGACATATCGAATTTAATTAAATATTTATGTTATCATGTATTTTATTACAAAAATCGTATTTATATTCTAGATGGATTCAAAGGCTAGGGACAATCGCACTAATCAGTGCAATCCTAACCATAAACCAACAGGGCCTGGTCACAAAGCTGGGTATCAAGGATCGGGTACCAAAGCAGATCTTGATAACCATTCTCAACAATTAGATCCGAAAAATCCAAAATATGGAAAATAATATGTATTCATGTCTTACAGAATTGGCGTTGTATTTATAATGTATACGCCCGAATAATATAAATGACATGACATCTTAATATTATAAAATGTCTTGTATATTTTTTGTTACCTTTACGTATTCTGAGATGTTCCCCTTCAATATTCCTGTCCAATTTAACAAGAAGACGAAAAATCCATGTCTAAAGATATATATTAATTTAAATTACAGACAGTTATATTAAACAGCTATTTATCGCTAATATCATGTAATTAATAAATGAAGGTTTTTTTAAATTTAAATCATAAAAACAATTAGTCTTCTTGAGTTTAATCCTTCGATATATATTATTATTATTTTACATATATTGAAGATGAAATACTTATTTCATTGTTACATATAAATGATAGAGCAAGTAAAATAAGAAAAACTGCTACATCTCGATTTATCTATTGGGTTGTTGAATCCAATATCCCCAAGTAGCGAAATATTCGTTATTCTTTTCTTGCGTTGGACCACGAAACACCTTTATTTTGACCCGTTGAACATCATCTGCAAACAATCAGCAACTGCACAGTTTTTTTATGGCATTTACGAATACCGCGATATTATCTTACATACACACATTTTCCTTTTCTGTAATCCAAATGAAGATTACGAGAGCAAGGTATAAATTTAAATGTTTCCTTAAATAATTATTAATGATATCGTCTGCAGTATTACCTTTTTTCAAAGTTGAATAACGCATTGCGCTGTTTGACTCATCGCAACTTATCATCATAAATATCGCTATATCGAGCAGACAGAATACAAAAAGAGTGCACTGCAAATATTAATTCTTTGATTATTTAATTGAATATTTTTGTTGCATAATATTGCACAACAAAGTTTAGCTGAATAAAACGCAAATCTATAAATATTTCACTATAGATTACAGTCTGACTCACCGTTAATCTCATCGCGATTGTGAATATAATAAATTTCTAGATGAAAGACGGGAATTTTATATGCTACAGTGTCCGCATCTAGAGCATGACCGATCCTGATTTTCCATCTCGCGGTTTGAGGGACCGTTTCTTTAGAAAGAAAGCTGTATTGTCCTGCAAAGGTGAAGGTGATACGTCACAAAGACGATTATAAGAACACAACGTTACATCTTTTTTTTTTTATAGGCTTTTCACCTGGGCGATTTGTTCGTAACACTGAGTGAATTCGTCGTCACGTTGTAAAGACATGTTTAATAGACATAGATATTTCCAAACACTCGCGTTACGATTGTCGATCTGATTCGCTTCCGATAAAGCCGCCTCGGCTTCCGTGAATCGCTGCAGCTGAGACAATTTTCATATATAAAAGCGATTTTTACGTATAAAAGATTAATTAATGGCACAGAAGTTTTTGTTAAAAATTTTTCTTTTTTATTAACTTGATTGATTCACCTCAAAAAAGGCGATTCCTGCGCCAAGCCACGTTTCCACCGTAGGTGAAGTTCTGCTTGCGGTGAGAAATACTTTTAACCCACGCTCGTAATCACCGACATTTTCGTAATACAGTCCCATTCTAGCATTGTAATGCTGTTATAAATAAATTGACTCTACTTTTTTTCCTCTCAATCGTCTCGCGCAATATCTAAACAAATGATTTTACCTTGTTTGCACGAGATGCAAATCATCTGGCCTGTCGAATACTGCATTGGCGAACTCGTAGTAATGAATGGCATCTGTGAAATTACCTTCTTGAAAATGACAGTGTCCCATTAAACTACCTATAGAATAATCCTGAACAGAAACATATATTTGAGATTTAAATATGATACAGACGAATTAATTTTATACGATGTTCCTATGATAATTAAATCAGTTAGATACATATTAAATTATATTAATTAATTATTTAGTAATTAGTTATTAATTATTATGGAATTAATTATATATAATTATAATTATATTTAATAATAAGATTATTTAAAATTAATTTCTTTATTAATTTAAAATTATTTATATTTGACTTTTATTTAAGTAATTAATTTATATTCCGTATAGTTTGTAATTGTACAAAACCAATTGTAGTAGTCAACGAATTGAAATATCTAAGAATGATGTGCAAATGCAAACGAACCAGTCCATAAATACTTTCAGCTTCTCTTAAGTGTGATAAAGCTTCTTCGTATTGCTGCGATAAGTAATATCGCACGGCTAAATAATATAGAACATGGGTGGATCTATCTGTTCGAGACATTTCTTTTTCCAACGCTAAGCCAGCAAACTATGCAAATACAAATCGTGACAGTATAATTTGCACGTTTTTACGTAAGAGATGTATTTTAAATACAGGCATATTACTTCGCAAAAATGCAGTTTCAGTAGAAGTGTAGCTGTTATCATAAACACGTTATCCTGTGGACAGTGAATCATTGTCCAAGCAAGAGGATCTTCGCTCGAAGTCCCCGTCTCTTTATCGCCATTCCTCATACATCCTTCCGCTATTCGTAACGTAAGATCTATTCCTGTTTAAAAAAATATATATATTCCTTGTACATACACATTCTACTCTTATCTTTATCTATAATACACAAATATGATAAATTTATTATATCTAACCTGGGCGGTAATCTGTGCGAATGTAAAAAAGATGTAAGATAATCCATCCTTCAACAAATCGCGGATAAAAATCAGTAACAGTTCTCAGAAAGATTTCCGCTTCTCTATAACTCTGATTTTCCGCAAGGATCAATCCGTACATCAATAAACTGCAGAGAAAAACGTTTATTATATGAGATTATTTTTAGAATCTATCGCGGTTTCCTTCCTTCCTGAGTTCGCAACTATAGAATTATAAAAGTACACTTGCGTATTTTTACGTACGCAAATTTATCTCGTCTGTTCAAAAGAATCGCTTCACGGCAACACTCCCTTGCGCGCTCCACATCGCTAATTTTCAAGAGAAAAATCGCATATTTAGTCCACGCTTCAGCATCATTTTTATCTGCCGCGATTGCCTGTGAAAAAGATTATATGCGCAATAACACATTTTAATGTTTGATATTTTCTTAATACAGATGATTGAGTTATGTATATACAGCCTGATAATGTCGTCTTGCATCGTCTATATGACCTAATTCGTAAGCCTCTTCAGCATAAAAGAATAATCTTTTAGGTATTGCAGTGCTCGACGAATCGTCGTCTTCAAAGTGGCTTTCAACGATCTTGTTGATGGCCAGATGCATTTGTTCGACAAGATACGTGTATACGGATGTTACAAAATTCTGTACATAAAATCGTAGCTCATTAGAGCTTTTACTTATTTTCAATGGTGTCTAAATAAATTCGCCTGAATAATAATCTATATTTGAAAATTGCGTATGTTTTATACAATATATAATAATAATAATTTTAAATAATAAATATATTTTTAAACCTGACTGTCAATGGAGTGTACAGTATTCATGTTTGTCTTGAATTTTTGATCTAGTAACATAATCACTTTTAGCTTCAAAGTGCTGCGTATATTTAAGTACGTGCCAGTTTTGTATAGATATTGCGTGAAACAAGTCAGCTCGTCCTAAAAATTATTGTAACAAGCACACGAACGTGGAACGCAATAATTCCTCGTATCTTACTGTTGAAATTAAACTCACCTCTTCAGGAACGAAACAATACTTCGTTTTATCTACCTTTTCTGAATCAATTTTCTGATCATTTAATACGGATAACTGTTCTCGCTTTTTTTCATCACGAAAATCCTAGTACAAAACATATTTCGATATATTTCAATCAATTTATTAAATTATATTTTACGTAAGAATTTTATTTGATGATACCCTGTAGCTCTCCGTAAGAATATCCACTATTTTCCGAATACAAGTTGCGTATTGTTGTTCCGCTAGGTCGAGAGAATAAACGTAATGCGACTTAATTACTTTCGGCTTCATCATTTTCTCGATTCTAGTAAAATTAATTATTTCAGATAAATTTTGATATAATTTTAAAAATTAAACATGAGATGATACTTATTATTATGATTATGCGATTACATGTCTGAAAAATCATTTTCAAGTTTACAAGGGACAAGTGGATACAAAAGTTCGACCTCGATTATGACAAACACAGGCTCGCCAGTCTCCGAAATTAAAGGGGTACTTTGCATTATTTCAACATCCATCTGAATCGAATCCGAAATCCAATTTGAAGAAAACCTTTTTGATTAATGCTGATTTTTTAAAGTACATGTTGCATATGTACGGAATGTTTTAAGTACTAAATGAATTTTGCGTAAAATTCTTTAAAATATTGTATTATGACTATATATGTATATCATATCAACCTTTTTTGATTCCCGTTCATTTAAATTTTTATTCCAAGATTCTGTAGAAAAAATATCTTTTTCCAAGCCAGTCTTTTCAGTTATATTCGATGCATCATACGTATATAATTGCGCAACTACACGAGTACTTTTTACTACATTTATATATATATAAAGAAGAAAAATATTAATCTTTTTAATAACAATATGATTATTTATCATGTATTAAAATGAATTTGTTCGTGCTTACTTCCTGGAAAAACAAGCTCTGATAAATTGACGTAACATTGAAAAAGTTGACATTTATTCAATCCTTCTTCGTTTTGTTTATTGTTGATCTTTTCCGCACTCTTTTTACTTACCATAAATTGAAATGGCCAACATTTATACCTTCGAATATAATTATAATGATATTTAACATGAATTCTCCGATCTTTATACGAGATTTTAATAGACATATACTTGACAAGATGCTTCTTCATCATTTCTCTTCCCATATCACACAATATGCTGCGATTCACAAAGTTCCATTCGATTCTAGGCTCGTCCTGACACGCTTTTTTCTGTAAATTACGCATTATCCGCGCTTCATCGTGCAGTTAATTTATTAGATCAAATTGTAAAATGTCTCGCTCACCGGTAAATCAAGTTCCACATCGAGCATATTTTTTATATGTTTGTAATCGTAGTCGAGTTTCCACTTCGACAATCTGGCGCGACTCTGTAACTTTGATAAGCTTCGCCATCGTTTGGTTCTCTCTAGATCGCGGTATTTTATCCATTTACCATCTTCAAATATTATGTTTTTCGGAAACTGCGGTAAAGAACGCATATCGTAATTTATTTTTTTTTTAATGCAATTGTAATTAATTTTATATTTTGCATAAATATTTTTAATTTATCAAATTAACACAGAGAATTTATTTAAAATGATGTTAATTCGAATGTCTAACAGTTGTAAATTTTAATTGACTTATATATGATCAATTTACAGGTAAATGCAATTCTTTAGATTATATTTATTTGTTCCAACATTCTTAGAAGTCTCATATTATCTTTATAGACGTGATACGTGAATCAATTCTAAGAACTTTTCTGTTTGTTTTATTAACTGCTTTGCATTCAGTTCATTATTTTTATAAAACTATAATCTTTATTTCATTTATAAAATCTTTATTTATGTTATAACGAGAAATGCAAAGAACAATATATTATCATCAAAATATTATAATCAGTTCTTTTTAAATGTGATATACATATATATTATACAACAAAAGGAAAGAGAAAATGTTATCTTTTAAATAAAATAAATTGACACAAAAATTATAACTAAAATGTCTATTGTTTCGTTGATTAAATAATTATTAAAAATATTAAGATACCTCATTGTCAACATATATTATCGTGCCCGCTTTATAATCTGCATCTTCGGTAAATAAAATCGGTGGATTGTAGATACTTTCCACCGTAATACTCAGGAAATTAATTTCTGCTTGCGAAGGAAATATCTCTTCGCCATCGTATATTACTGTCGCGTTTAACAAAGGAAGATTTTGCCATGAGACCGCATTGCCATCAAACGAAAGATGTGGCGTTTGCACTATTAATCTTTCAACAAGCAATTTTTCACCTAGTGATCAAGGTTGTGAAGAATTATTTTAAGTGTAATATCTCGACTTTGCTTTCTCCATGTCGATAAATCATTACCTAGCAATATCGACATTAAATCAAAAGTGCAAAAACCAATTACGCTTGATGAAGTTGTTATTTGCTGTGGAACGATCGCTGTTACTTTCTGTTTGGATTCCGCAGTTGATTTGCCGGAATCAGACACATGTTGATTTTGGACATTATCTTTAGACGTTACCTTTACTGATAAAGCAATAATTTACCACATTGGAATAATTACTAACTTACTGCTGATATGATTGTGAATTATTTATTGATATGCATGCAAATGCGTTGTGATGTAAAAGAGATTCTTTACTTAAAATCGGCGTTGATACGATTAGATTCATGCTATTGCAGTCATTAACTATAAATAAAAGTTCGACTTCGTAGTTGACGTCGTAAATTTGCGGCGGTTCCTTGAAATCCGGATCGATAATGAGAGGAGTACTTTCTCCGAGCACTACGTCATTATGTATCACGATAAACGATATGCTAGTTTTTTCTTTCACCATCTGTCTTATAAACAAATTTTCTCATGATCATGCTGCCGTAGTTGAATACGAAAAAAAACTTACAATGTTTTCGATGGAATTTATAATTATTTTCATGCTTCTTTTAATCGGCTCCTTTTGAATTAAAGATTCTTCCATTTTTATATATGAAGGTATTTGTATATAATACTGAAAAATATATTTTTCTATAGAGCTTTGATATTGTGAGTTTAATAAAATAACCTTCATATATTTTAATAAAGACGATAGTCACGATTTATTTTCAATTGTTTATTGACGCTGACTTCGAGTGAGGAAATTGTTTTATCTTAAATAATGTAGGTAAAATACATTTTTTAAATCATGATGATATAGGAGTAGATATGAAAATTTTGTAAATAAAAAGATCAATATAGTATAACAATAGTAATTTTATTTATCAATAGTATATGTATATGTGCCTTCAATAATAAGCAGATATTTTCGTATAACGATATTATATATGCATATATATATATATAAATTATTATATTTATATAAATATGAGTGAATCTTTGATATACGATTTTAAAGGTTTAGACACCAGAGTCGAATAATCGGATAAACTTTTACTATATAATTTTCCTCACATAAACATATTCTAAACTTTAGCACCTGATATTCGTGTTCTATAAAATTTATAGACGCTCTCTGATATTTTTTTCTCTTATATTTCCGAGAATTTAAAATATATAGAGAGTAACAATCGAATTTACAACAAAAAACATATATGGAATGTACGAATCTAAACTTTCGGCTCACGAAAGCATTAACGATTCCGAAACAGATTCATTGCCATCAGCAACGAATTCTTTTCCTCAGGAAAATTTCCATATATATATATTTTTTTTTTTCTCTTCCTGCAACTCGTTAATGTAGAGTTGGTGAAGATCATAGCAAGCCAACGTTCTTTACTCTTTTCGAAACACGTAACAATTTATGTCACGAAGATGATTTACTTCACGAACATTACAATGTAATTGAGCTACAATTGCGTAATTTACGATCACTGACGTGAAGGCACTACAGTTCTCCAAATGTATTTGCGCCGAAGCGCGTCCTTTATACAATCATATAAAAAATTATTATACATGCGTATATGTATTAAAGTTACAAGTATCAAAACTTCGTCGCGCGATAAATTCGTCGACGAGAAAAAACAAGATTGAATGCGACGATGGTGGATACTCATCGAGTTCTTCGTGTATCTTCCTTGACTTCTGATCTCCAAAGTCACATTTCTCGCTCCATTTAATTTTAAAAATATACAGCGCGGAGGAGAGAAAAGCTATTTATATGGCTACTTGTCGACATCTTTTTCGGCGTATATACGTTGTAGAAAATTCATGTCTATGCCGTAAAGTGGCTTCTAACGGATCGTAAAAACATCCTGCGAGAGAAACAGTCTTTTGAGATAGTCCGAGTACATCGAATGCAGATTTAATCGAACGTTCGACTATAAGGTCTTCATAGTTTTATCGATGTGTCTTAATGTCGTTTCGGGCACCGCGTCCGTCAACGCTTTACGAAAACCTTCGCAGCGAGTCAGTCGCCGAAACATCCTTTTCGCATGATTCCTATGGAAATTCAAGTTATGACGATCATGATTGCAATACTCTGAAGAAAAGTTTACTAATTTTTAATAAATCATTTGTTTGAATAAGTTAATTACTGAATATTTATTAAATGTAAAGTGGTATAAAAGAATCATTAATTTCATATAACTGTCATTTTTTAAAAAACGAATAAATATTTATTTATTGTAGGTAAATATTTAGTTAGATGCTATTCAAATAAATATGTAGTAAAATTTAATTCTTCCTTAGTGTATCGATTTCACGGATGTGAGAATGTATATTACAATGAGATCAATTGTAAATTCACTCACCTCGCATCTAGATTTCCATCCATCAACAACTTTGCGCCCGTGTTTAGCAATTTATCCCTTACATCGCGCGGTAAAATCATAATATGATCAGGTCCAATGCGATCGGTGATATCCGATAACAGTCGCGCGGTCGCCGCGCGAACAATAGCGTTTTGATGACTGGAAAATTGAAATCACAATCGAGAGATAAGCTTTGTCATACGAAAAAACGTTCTTCAATCGCAATTGGAAACTTACCTGGCTCCTCGAAGTACGATGATACCGATGGTTTTATGAGGCGGAAGATACTGCACCATCTGATCTAGCGCTGCGTTGCTGTCCGATCGAAGAAATCGATTGGTATCTGCTGTTCTGTGAAGCAACGGTCCAGCTATGTCGTCCAAATCCTACTCGAAGAGAAAATAAATAAGCGTTTGATAAAATGTTATAAAAATGTTTGAATGCCTATGCCTTTATGCGGAATGACATATATACATCTACCTGATCGATACCCCGAATCTGAGAACTGAAAACATCACCGGCAGCGAGACATGCAGCCCGTGCCACCTGCGATCGAAGATTCTTTATGTGTCGTCCTAAAAGCCTTCCTATCGTTCCAACCGTACAGACGTCCAAGCCTTCTGGATGCTGCTTCGAAATTTGTGACAGAGCTTTCAGACCTTTCATCGTTATTTCCCTGAAACGCAAGATACGCTCTGAATAATAAGTTCATTATATATATATATATATATATATAATCCTTGTTTCTTAATTATTCGGGTAATGAATTATTTAGACACCAAATGATTATGCTAATATTAATATAATATATTTTACAAAATCGACACGTACCAGTCTTTATTCTCGAGCTGTGAAAAGCACTGTTGTACCATTCGTTTGGATTTTTCCGAGGGCTTCTCCATAGCTCTCTTGTTAGAAGGCATTCGACACCTACTAGGACCGCGTACTGGTACTTTCGAGGGCATTCTTCTACGTGATTCGACATCTTCTGCAGGTTCAGACTACAGAGGAGTTCCAGAAGCATTAATTTTGTATGTGTTTTACGACAAGTTGTATAACATTTTAGCAATAACTTTAAGTGTCTTATATATAATTATTTTGATAGCCCAACAAAATTTATTTTCAGATCTGTATCTATTTAAATTTTTAGATACTTTAACAAAACCGTTTTTTCTATGTTAAAATTCTATTGTACAAAGAAGTGTCTTATTGCTATACATATCGTACCTCTATCTTCAATATTCCTGGCTCCGTATTCGTTTCGCTTGCGCTATCTTTACTTTGTTTGTCCTCCAAAGCATCGTTCACGCTGGATTCTTCTTCCGTGGACTAGATAATTATATCTCAATCAGAATGTGTCCTTCAATAGGCAGTTTAATTGTATAAAAACATCTTACTTCTTGAGTATTAATCTTATTATGCGGATTATCATTTTCGACGCTTCTCGTGTTCTCGTACTCGACGGTTTCGTGAGAATGGGGCCTTGATGCGATGATAATTGCTGGTGAATCACCGACTATACTGATGTCTATAGGCGGGTGACCAACGGTGTCCAATGATCGAATGGAAGCATCCTCGTTAGGTACTATGGAAGCGATTATTCTCTCCTCATTGAAATCCCTGGGAGTCTCAATCTGACATTTAAAAAATCAAATTTAAATAGAAGACACCATGGAGTAAATATTAATATTAAAAAAAGGAACTTGTATTTCATTTAATTTAATACAGTTTAAAATACGCAATGATTGTTTATAAATTTTACTTGCTATTATTATCAACGGTATATGAAAGAGAAATGTAATTTCGCATATATAATAATATTATATTTTTTTAATGATTTATCGTCTATACTGACCAAATTGCGCGAACCACAACGAGAATTTCGCTTGGTCGGCGAATTAGAGATTGGCGAATGATGAGTACTGTGATTAGGCGTCAGATACAACGATTCCGATTTTTTGGGACTGATTGTAACTTTCGTGTCTTCGTACGAGGGTAGAATCCGCTCGTTCGATAACGCGGATACAACTGATCTTCGCGCGCTCGACCTGTCGTCCTCCGGTTGTTCGGGAACGCCGGAGCTGCTTTCTGTGCTTCTATTGCAATTTTCATCCACGGTAATTAACTCATGATTTGAATGCCTGGAAATCGATCCAATTCGACTGGCCGGTTTCATATCATCCTCGCTGCTCCATTCCTTCGACACCTCGTCCACAGTCGATGCATCTGCCGTCGTGATTGGGTACTCCATTTTGTTGGTATCCAACGACGTCTAAAATTTTTCGAGAAGTTATTCCGTTGGATTGTACAATGCCGAATTATCTTAACTCACATTTGTAGAAAGAACAGAAATATCTGATAAAAATAATAGTATCTGAGCTCGAATTCAATGACATCTCCTCGAATTAAATACATTTCAATGACAATGACACTTTTTTTTTAAACATAATGTTATTGTATAAAGTTCACTTTACATGATCTATAATTCACGATAGAGTTCGAGAAACAGAATTCTATTTATAATTTTATGTATCAAATAATATAAATACAATTTTAAATGAGAAAAATTTCTTTTATTACAAAAAATACGACATCGAATACATAGGTTAAATTATAATTTATGTCACTTATATATATGGCTAAGCTTTTATAGATTTTCAATTTTCATTACACCAGTATAATTGATCAATCACGAGTAATTATACCCTATAATATATATATTTGATACGATTCTTTCATATTTATAAAAATAAAGCATTATAGTGTGATAAATTTATAATTCTAATTATTTATATGTTTTTTGAATTACGCAATGCGTAAAATTATAAATAGATCGCGAATTATACATTGTCTTTAAGCAAGCTTGAATGTCTGTTAAATAGATATGTAGCTGAATAACTTCAGCAATTTCAAGCATAGTCTATTTGAACTTTAATCTGACGTTTAATTACCATAATACTTAATGGTGAAAAACAAAATGTTGCGTCAAACGATAGACTCCGGTTAAGTTTTCGCTGAGGAAGTAATGACTCCAAATATGCAAAAAAATCTATTACTGAATTACTCTTCGTCGGTGATAGACCACCCTGTATACGCAAAGATTACGATTTACAAATTGGATTTGTCAGCGGTTCGTCGCACTGTGAGAGGAAAAAAATACTAGTAAAGACGATGATTTCTTACGAAAAAGGAATCGACGTTGTCGTGAGTGGCGCTTTGGCGATTCGCCGCCGTCTGTTCCGTGATAACGTCGAACGCCGGATCGCCAGCGTTCAGGCTCTGCGGGGTTGACGATTCACTATTATCATTGTCATTGTAATCTTGCAACGTCGCGTCCTGATTTTCCTCTGGTCCCGATCGGTCATTCCTGGAAATGTCCGACGACGAACTGCTCGCGCTTTTCGGACGTTCGCACGTGCCGATTGAGAAGGAACGCAAAAACTCTAGGAATTCAGAACGTTCAGAGATGTTATAATACATGCTCACTGTAAGACGTCAATAAATGTTTAAAAAATCTCATTGGCAGATCCAGAAATTTGTTACAGGAAAGGCCATTGGCGCGCCGCAAGTGAAACTTTTTTTAAGATCAAATATGAAAAGAATATAGAATGTTAAATTATATTACATTGAAATATAATAGTAATATTAAATATATAATTCATAAAATGTTTTATTTAAATTTTTATTAACACAAGAAAATAATATAATGGTATCTATATATGTTTTTTACATCTATAGAAGTTTCTTAAATTAAACAAAATTTTGGAATAAAATTGTAATTAAGTATTTCAGAAATATTAAAAATATATATAAGATTTCGTTACAAATATTTTTAGAAAAGAAGACTCCACAAGGGGGGCTATATGACCTCCTCGTGGATTCGCTAGAGTGTAAGAAATGAGTCTTGGCGTGGAATTTTCCGTCTGCAAGTTTGTAAATATCGCGAGGCTTAATAGACACTAATTTAAATGTATTGCAATTTGGAAGATGGGACGGGCTATCGATCGGACTTTCCGCTGCAGCGCGACGTTCGATCGTACCTTAGACTTGACCAGCGGAATATTGATTACCTCGGCCGGCGCGTCAGCTAGACCTAAACTCTATATGCATGCACAACGACGAGGTGAAGAACCTCTCGTTCCATTTCGCTATGTTTCCAGTTGCGCGCTTCAGGCCAAAAGTCTACATTGTATTTCATTTATTATATCTCTTTGCTGAGAATGCGAGTCCTTTTAATACACAGCGCGATTGATGTGCAAGATGTGCGATCCGATGTATCACATCAGGTGTTACATAAAAGATAACCATCATATCCATGAGAATGTTAATTTTTTGATAACACTTTAAATTTAAGCGACAAAAGTGTAGATGTCACTTCTGTAGAGTTCAATTAAGTGTCAAAAGTAAAAATTAAATTGAAAATGTCAGAACTTCCTGCTGGCGAACGTTTTCGAGAAAGAGAACTGCATACCTTGGTACCGCGATTCCTCCTTGTTCGAATTTTGCACGTGACAGCCTTTCGCTTCGGGCGAGAAGTGACGCCTGTTTCGTACATTGTATTCTTCCTCGTTCACCGTCGTTGCTTTATTACTGCAAGAGATGTAAAAATAGAAATCGACTTGAAAGTAATTTCACATGCAACTATTGCGCGACATATTAATGTTTCAGTAATGGCGGGGTTAGTGCGCAAAATGGTATTTTCATGCGAGCTTTAGTTACATATCTACATGATTATAAGCTGAAACACGACGAATCTATATTCCAGAATAGCAAATCGAGGTAAGTAAAATAATACAAGTGTTATGTAAAACTAACGTGTCTTTTATACTTGAGCGTATAAAATTTAATTAACGTAATAATATTTAAATTAGCCGATTATTTGATCAAGCCGAGATGAGCTTTCCTCAAAATTACGTGATTATCTTTTTTATAGTAACATTTTTAAGCTTTTAATATGGAGTTTTGTTTTACACTTCACATTGAAAAAATTGTATTTTTGAATATTTGAAAAGTACTGACTGAATATTTACTAAGTATATTTATTTTTGATACAAAAAACATTCATTTGATATAACTACGATTCTTTTATTCAATAAATATTTATTATACTTATTGTAAGTAAATTAAGTTAATACTATTTAAAAACAAATATTTATATTAAAATTTAATATATTTTTCTCAATGCACAGCAACTGACACCGTTTCTCTTTTTATTCGATCGATATCATATCTATTTTCTTTTCATAAAGAATAGAATATTATCTTTATCGACAGTGCTTCTGCGGTTTTCAATATTAATCAACTATTATACATCTATTATAAATCGCGCTACATCTTTCATCCTTCTCAAATTCGATCCGCGATGGTCAACATACACCGTGTCGCTGTTTCGATTCAATCTCAAAGCGATGACCGGCGTCGTTGTAGTGATGATGGTCGAGATGGACGCGTTGCCGTCTCCATCGCCGTCGTTGTCGCGGCTAACACCGACCGACTTCCTGCATCGGAAGACACACGGACAGCAAAACAGGACGGCGTTCGCGATTTTATGTTCGCCGGACCTGCTTACCGGTCGTGCCTCACCGACGAGGGCATCTCCGTTCATCTCCTTCATCTCGATCGGCCAGAACTTGAAGATCATCCCGCACAAAACTTGAAATTCATATCCGCGATACCTCATCAACGATTTCGTATGAAAGTTCTCGGTCGTGGCCGTGAAACGGGTTTCGTTTCACCCGATGGATTGACCCTCGGGGTCAGCGAATGCGACGTCATGGTTTGAACGATTTGTTGCAATACTGTTTCATAATCGTTATTTATTTACGATCATATTCGTTCACAAATTACAAAAAAATTCCTCCTTTGTAAATAAATAAAAAATTATCCTGTTATTATAAAAAAAAGAACGATTTTGCTGAAATATCTGAAAATTTAACTAATTTACACACAAAATTATTTTCAGATATCTAGCTAAATTTTTAAATGGGTACATACACCATATTGCAATAAAATTTATTTTTTTTTCTTTCCAGGCATCAAAATTTTACTATTAAAGTCTAGCCACTTTACTAAATTTTATTATATCTATTAGCATTTCTAATTTTTATCTCTTAATCTCCGAACCTTACGTCTTCTTTATTTAATTTTTTTTAAATTTTATGCCATTTAGGAAGTAATTAATATTGTATAACATAATAATACGAATGGAAAAGGTTAAATGTTACCAAGTTTCGACCTTTCTCAATCGTTAGAACGGTAAAAGGAAATAAGCGCGCGAGCTCCGAAGAATCAATCGATACTAATGACAATTTCAAACATTGGCGAACACTTTATCATAACGCTCTGTGCGTCGTGATATGTATGAAATCGATGCGTTGGAATGTCCGAACCGCGAAACGCGCGCAGAAACGTGAAAGATCGAGCTACAGATTAGTTATCGATCAAGTGTGTTCAAGAGACTTATATTCCAAAAACATATATCATTACGGTCGTACATTTTATATCCATCTTTTCTACGAATTCACTCTTTTTCATTCCATTTCACTTACTCCTGCATCAGATGTTTCTATTCCCGAATATTATTATTCTCTAAATTCTTTCGAATGAAATCTAAAGAGGAAATATTAGGCCAAAGAAGAGTCGTAGAAAATAGTGACTTAATTTTCTTTAAGAGTGGATTTCACTCTAAAAGTTTTAGGTCGGTATTCATAGTCGATTCTTGTATTTTCTAAGATGTCATGAACCGATCAAACAGTCGCACAACATCTTAAGACATTACTTAAAACGGTTTTGAAATAAGAATAGATTTTAAAAAGTAACTTTCTTGTTTTACATATATACTATTTCATTTTTTAACGTACTATTCTTGCAATCTTACGATACACCGGAACTCGCGAGTCGCATTTAAGTCGCCACATATTCCCGCGAATTGGTCAAATCCGCAATTGCCCTACGACTATCGTGTACGATACGTCGAACTAGCAACGATTCGATCGAGATTACGATGTTCATCGTTCTGCCATCCGTTACTTGGCAACTTTTCAAGGGCGAACCTTGCATAACGCAAACAGCTGCGCGAAATCCACGTGTCCACGTTCTCTACGCACAACGCTCTCTGAGCACTCGCTGTCATTCGATTTAAATGACAGAGGTCGGTGACACTCGCGCGTAATGTTAAACGAATTCAATTAGTTTATCGCTGATAGATTTTCTCGCGGTGAACCTCATACGAGGAGAAAATAGCGAGAGAAAATAGCAAACGCGGATGAGGACCATGTTGGACGACAAGGAGGCATACTTCATAATTGCGAAGGATATACGCGCTCGTAACAATCGACGACGTACGCACGACTGTGGCACATAGCAGAGACGGCAAGCGTCCCGACGCTGACCGCTGCCACCGCCACCCCCACATCGTCCCCGCCCCATGTCCGTTCGTTTCCCCGACCTCCGCACTTTACTTCTTTTTAACCGCATGGCAGAGAAAAGGGCAGAGACATGAAAAATTTGAGAAATCGAGGTGCAATTCCGATTTTTAAAAACATGCAAAAAAATATGTGATGGAACAGAAGGAGGAATAAAAGATGCACGAATGAAAAACCGAGTGATAACGTACTCTCTAAAATTTTGAGTGAATTATCATTTTGAAAAACGAAATTTTATTTTTAAAGATAATATTTTATTCTTAAAGATTGTTTTTCAAGACTAGCTCAATTTTCACCCTTTAAAGTAGGATTCCACTCCAAAAAATTTAGAGAGTAAAAAGGAAATAAGCAAATAAGAAATTTGATACAAATTTAACAATCATAATAAAAATGTAAAATTGAAAACTCAATTTGGATGGATAAAAAATATATAATCAAGTTTTCTTTTAAATTTTCTTGTCTCGAGGACATTTTCTACGAAGACTCAGATATCACCCTTTCGAGACCCTCTTATGAGACGGTAAACCAGGCTGACCATAACTCACCCTTCTCCCCTTACGTGGTCACGAAAGAAGGGTTGGCAGAGTCATGCGATCCGAGTGAAACGCGGTTAAAGGAGGTTGAAAGATGCCAAGCACATTTATCGCTTTTCCACCACAGGTCATGGAGTCTACTCCAAGTTTCTTATAATCTCGAGAAGATCACGATATTAAAATATTGTACTTAAAATTCAATCTTATTGATATAAAAAAACGAGGCTATTATCATTTTACAACTTTGGTTTAAAATTTATTTTACTTGTCGACATGCTAAAGTGAAATTCCCGAACGTTTCATCAGCTCAATCATGCAATTTCTCGAAAAATCGATGTTTCGAAGAAATCAACACACTGAGTCAGAGGTTACACACTCGGAGAAATTTTTTTTTTGCTTTCAGAAATTCTTTCATTTTTCACAGTGCTAATCAAATTCAGATGGTGAGAATTCAATATTAAAAAAACTAATTTTTTGCAATTTGCACATAAAGTATCTCCCTTTGATATTCGCCGTTATAATGGATATTCCAGAATATTGAATAGCGATTAGTGGCCGGCTTATTGTTAGACGTAAAATATTCAATGAGAGGAGGAATAGACGATATAGAGTACGGCAAGGCGTTTCGACAATCTACAATAGTCCCGCATGTTACACACCATGCACATAGCACCCGCGTCATTATATCCGTTGCACTCTCAGGTAGTGCGAATTTTCAGTTGTATAACTTCTGCACGGAAGAGACGAAAGAACGATTGAGGCATTTTTCTATCGTGCGGCATGCGCGCTTTTCTTCGTCTTTTCATTATTTTTCCTTTTCTTAATTTTATCGACCGACTAATTCGAGCAGTCAGAATTAGTCCACTTGCGATATAGTGGCATGTTTTGCGAGTCTTATGCGAAGGCGTGTTAAATGTTAAGTCGCAATTCTCGCGATCTTGATGAGGTAACGAAACAGAAAAGTTGCACACTTATATACATATAAATTTAGAGCCGATCGGAGTATATCGGCTGTAAAAATCGCTGGCACGCAAGGTGATTTTTGTCGACCTAAAATCCGCCACTCTATCGACAATTTGGATCTTGCTACACACACACAAGTTAAGTCTTAAGAATAATGTGTCACGTGGGCAGAGAGATTGAGATTAAGCGAAATATGAGGTCGCGTACCTTGCCAGGTCGATAATATTACGATTACTATTTCAGCTTATATTATTATTTCAAGCATATAAAATATTGTTAGAGGTGACAGTCTCTAATAATTTTATTTCTTTAGCCGCGCAAATTCTTGCAAGTCTCATTTCAAGATAAATTTTCATGTGCCGTGCAAACAAATGTTTTAACGACAAAGAGAATCATATGGTCAAAATTGTCGAATATCAAACGTCAATTTTGATGATGTAATCCTTTTCAGTATGAATTTATTTGAATTTTAAAGCTCAATCTCTCACCGATTTGGTAGACAATATTTACGCATATCATCTCGCGTGACGATACACCGGCATCTTGCTCGCAAGTTATTTTAAGATCTAATTGATCTTGTCTGATGAGAATTAATGAAGCGTTTAAGAAAAAAAAGACCAGAAAGAGAAAAATTCCTGCTATATCTTATGATTGCGTGCCGACGTGATTTTATTTAAAAAATTCTACTCTATGAAAAGCAAAGAACTTACATGTCGTACATCGACGCGGCGTGAAATCTGTTGGAAGTCAACTGTCGTGATCGGTGAAGTTGTGACGGGGATAACGATCGCAATCTTCTGCGATGAGAACTGGCGAAACTTTCTGAAGAAGGGCGCCTGTTCTCCTGTGAATTTAACGAAATTAAGTCCATCTCAGTTTTGTGCTCTGTCGCTGCTGTATCTTTTATTCTACGATCATTGGGCTGCGACAATTTACGTAAATCAATACTTATTGTTAAATATATTTAAATCCTAAGGCGCTAAATTTGAAACTGAGTTCTAAATACAAAATTAAAAGATTTGAATCTCTTCAGACACCCGTATCCAAAATGATTCGTTTATTTTCAACCAGAAATTTTCTCCATGGAAAAAACGTTTTATGTCACGATTTCGGACATAGTACTGTCTGGGTCAGAATTAGGATTCAAATATAAAAATTCCGATGACTTATTTTAGCGTAAGATTTACCCAATATCTCGCGTTCCTATCCCTATCCGCAGGAACTTGCGTATCCAGATTCTGAGAGTCCTGATACACGCGGATTGATGGATTTGGAGGAGTTTGTAACGGCCCGTAGACATTTTTATCCATAAGCTTCCTTTGGCGCTCGAGAATCGAGTTATACCTGTAAAAGAAAAAAATCAATTATATAAATAAATTGTATTAGCTGAAGAAGACTCCAAAGTGAATCGAAACGTTTAATTGCTAAGAAGGAAGAATAAATTGAAAACTCACGTACTTATAACCACGTTTGTACTCTTATTGGCTCTATTACATCATTATATGTATATAAATAAATATTTTTTCAACCAAAAAGAGATTACTTCTGTTAAAACTCACGCTTCGACGAGTGTTTGTTGCTGCATATTTCTGGATAGCGAACGTTGACATCCTCCCGCGTAATTCGAACTTTTGTTCTCGTTCATAAATTTATTGTCCATGAATCTGTCGTAACTGTGCGAATTGTCATCCGAAAAGATTACTTCTCTGTTTCCTACTATATCCTACAAAATCATAAACATAATTGCAATTTGCATTTTTATTTATACAAAATTAATTATTGCACAATATTTAAAATTTAATTTACGTATAAAATTTATGATACAACTGACATTATACATGATATTTTAACTTAATTAATTTAATATCTGAAGAGAATTGTGATATATAAAGAAAAAAACAAAATTAAAAATTACTTTCTATATATATCGAGTCATAATTTTTCTTCTGTGAACGAGAGAATAATTTGAAATATTTAGCTTACACTGTATTCTCTATTTACTCCCAAAGTCTTTGTGTAAGGAGCTGGCCGATAACTATTAGAATGTGAATCAAATGTTTGATTCAAGGTCTGATTTTCTTCTTGTTGAAAACGTTTTCGTCGTTGATATATTGCTGCGTACGATCTATGCATACAATATTAACGCAATATATATGTAATATTCATTTAACTTGAAATAAATTTGTGTTTTCTATATTATGAAGAATGCTCACCCGACATTTTCCTGTCGCAAATTTATCCGATTTCGATTACTATCTAACACGTCAGTCGTTTGCTTTCGTGAATTGGAATTGACATATTCCAAGTTGAGGGATTTGTCACGATTTTGTGATGTTATTTTGGAACGCTCACGCGACAATAATACTGGTATCCTGGATTCTCCTCTGAGAGCAATACTTTCCTATAAGTATATTTTTTAAACACTTCTTTACTTTGTATTTATATATACATATACACATATATATATATATAATATATATTAGGTATTTGTAATAGCATTTTGTGATGTAATTTTTATAAATTATACAACAAGAATAATTTATAATATTTCATTTCACTATAAGACAGTCTTACCTTTTCTTTAGCTACTTCATTAATGTCTCTGCGATTTCGCATTTTTTGCTGGAAATTGTCAGAAATTTCTCTATGATTTTTAGCATCCGTCTCAACGAAATCGTACTGGTCTAATGGCGTGTAAATTGATCGCAATTGTTCTTCGAATCTTAAATTGGCATTTAAAGACACTCCTAGAAAATTTAAATTATCCTTTCAAATTCTTGTTAGATTTAATCAGACTGGTCAGAATGACCAGTTAGAGTAGAATTCAGAAAAGATTGCATTACCCGCATTTGCGTGTCGCCCATTCAGTCCTTTTATCTCATTTTCATTGTTCTGTAACAGAAAAAAATACTCGATCCTTAAATACAAGCATAACATTACACGTCTATTAATCATGTGATATTTAAAAAATGTAATCGGTTAAATATATATGTAATCGTTGCGATATTTTATTGCGAGACATGGATGCTCGTTACTACATAAAAAATAAAATAAAAAATAAAAAAAGAGAAATTAAAATAACCTATGTATTATCTTAAGAATATTTTGCGTTTTATATGCTGCAAAACACCATCGAATTTAATTAAAAACAAACAAACTCTACGCTGGTATAAAATATTAAATTTTGGAGATGATATATTCTTAGCAACATTCTCCTTTACGTTACAGTGTATTATATCGACGACCTTATGAAACAACTTATAAATATTCATCTTGTAAATATTAGTTGACGATATTAAGACGCGAATGCAAATCATGAAAAATATGATGTTATTAAATCACGCAGAAAGTTAGTGCTTTCCGTGTTTTAAGTTCCTTACTCATAATGAGAAATACTCGAGGTGATATGCAAAATAAAGCTTGAGAGAAAAGATGTATATTCTGTCGCTACTTCCTACTTCATTGTGTATTTGATATTTCAACATTTGCATTGCAAAGTTGATATCTCGTCTCGATAAGTAACAACAATGACATTGAAAAAGTAACGTGCAATACATCGCACCGTACTTAATGAGAAATCAATAATACTTTTCGTGTAAAGTAATATTACTAATGTCTCTGAGAATTGTTAATATTGTAATATGTCAATTAGATATTCTTTGCTATATACAAAACGTGTAGAAATATATGTATCATAAAATCGTTATAATATAAAATCTCGTTATATAAAATTAGAAAATTGTTATTAATTACTATCTTTCTTTATATTATTTATAAACTGATTTCTCTTAAATAAATATATATTTGTCACAACACGGTCGTATAAGAAACGAAAGAAGTAAAATGGAAAATATGCAATCCAACGTACATTAATTTGTGACTGCCAGGCCGTCGATTGCTCAGTCTTGGCTTGTAATCCGACACCTAGGGCAACAAGATTGGGTCTCTCTATCCACGGACTCTCGCGATTATTCAAGAAATCGTTTCTAAAATGACACGACATTTCAGGTAATTTTAGGCAAATATATAATTCGAGCTTCCTTGAATAATCATATGCAGTTACCTGGATGCTCTCCCCTGTGCTGATCTGGACGTGGCGATAATCTGACCTCTACTACGACCGGTGCCAGGCGAGACTGAACCGCTTCCTGCCACGATCCAATCAACGTCGGGACCTAAAAATTGTCTTCTCGTAAAAATCAAAGATGCACGTTGAATGAATAATATGAATATACATATGTAGGATTTTTAATTATACAAAAATTTGCAATTACACTTGCGTTGTATTCGAAATAATATAAATGTATAATCGTGCACTTTTAGAGAAAAAAGAAGTATAATATGCGTGTAATCAAGAGAATAGGCTTTATGATATATAATATGCAGATAATCATGTAATATCAAACTTCGTTTTACATTAAAATGTCACGCAATGTCATGGCTGCTTTTAAATTTTATTAGAAACTAATTACGTGATTTCTTCTATGCAGCTATAAAAGGAAAATTAACTTATTGATTACGCTACCTGATATTGTATCTTATATTACAATATCTTCTAATTATATAAAATCTATTTAGTTTATAACATTTCAAACTTTATTATTTTTTACAATAAATATATAACGATAGAACAAAGTTTCTATTGCAACGCGACTCTCGTACAATAAAATTTCTTTTTTAGAGTACTATCGTCAATAAAACTTATACTTTGTCGTAAGATTTTATCTACACGGGTGCATTATGCTTTCCTCGCTTATTCCCGGTTGTTATTACCAGTAGCGATCTGAACAGTCGGTGAAATTTGCAAACCGTACACCACGAGACCATCGGCCGACACCAGGGGTAATGACTTCCTAGCCAACCGTGCTCTAATGGCGGCCAACATCGCTTCGGCATCGGGGTTTCCCTCACTTACCCGTCTTCCCGCTTCAAGGACCACCTACAAACGAACGAGGTGTTGTTTCATTCAATGCTCAAGATTAAATAGGCTCTCTATAATAAATCATTATCTTCTTCTATAAGTTAAGTCGTAAAAAATTGGTCAATCACAATCGAATGTGAAAACACTAATCGACTATATATATATGATCGGTCAATTTTTTATGGCTAAAAATTTAAAGCCTATAGGTAACGGCTTATAGTAGAAAGTCCATGAAGGGTAAGATATACAAAGAACTTACGCAATACCTAGATAAATCAATATTTTGAGTTTGCTATCAGTTATGTCTTTATACTGATTGGCTGATTCATTTACGTATTATTACTGTATGTTTTTCTGTGTGCCATGGGTTTAACACTCGAATAAAAAATAGTTTTACCTCGGAATCGTAGATCTGCCCCAAAACAGCCAAGGTGTCGAGCGCAGCCTGACGTACTCTGCGTCGTCGATCTGCGACCATCGTCGCCACTCGGATGGCTACAGTTTCCAGCTTGAACTCAGTGCTAGGAAATGTCACCAGTGAGAAGATCAGCAGCTGCAACGCGTTCTCTCTTGTCTGCGTAAAAAACGAATTTAGTGTTAAAATGTGTGACACAAAAAATTTGTAGAATAAATCTCGCTCTAAAGAGTGACATTTTTTCAACATTTTTGTCAAATCTTCATTCTTTAAAGTAAATGATTCTATCCCAAAAGAATTTAGAGAGACCTTGGTGTTTCTGGCACTCAGACAATGTGGTTGCAGTAATTGTTCCAAGAGCAGGCTAGGCTTGAGCCGTAACATCGCGATTCGAGCGAGTTGCGCCGCGGATGGACCACCTTGTCTAGCCAAGCCCCAGGCCAGCTGCGCCAATTTCTTTCTTAGTGCATTCTCCGAGACACCGGCAACCACTACCTAAAATATTAAATAGTTTCTAAAAACACATACGAAAGTATAGCTCTAAAAAGTTTAACGATATAAGCTTTAGAAAGTTGAATAACAATACGTCATGAACCTTTGGTATTAAAAGTTATAGAATATTATTTTCTTTCCGCATCGCACTAAAAGTGTCTTTTACGCAATTCTCGCACGTGGCTATACATGTCATAAGTGGCCTTGCTGCTTGCGCTTCAAAACTTGGTAATTCAAGTTTAAATGCTCCTAAGGCTGAGAATGCGCGGATATAAATGTCGTAAATTCACAAGAATCTCGCGCTACCGAAACATTCACTGAATTTTAATGGCTTGAGTAACAATTTCATATTTTTAAACTTTTTAATAAATATTTGTTTGAATAGTTCTCAGTAAATATTTACTAAATACATACATATATATATTTATTTACTATAAATGCCTTAGCATTTACTATAATTACCTTAGCACCATTCAAAGAAATATGTATTAAGATTCAATAATAAATCTTTTTTTGTTGTGCAACATATTGTTCTCGTGGCTTTTAAGAATTAAACTCGGCTTTAAAAGAAACTTTTTAAAATACAAAAAAAAATATATATATATATAGGACATATAGGAATCAAATAATGATAAACTAAAAACTAAATTATATAATATGTGTATTTAAAAAAATTAATCCAAAAACAAATAAATAATATTATAGGCCTACTACATGTTTCGGCTTTATATTAAGACCTCTTCAAATATAAAAAAAAATTATAAAATTACGCAAAAAATTAAAGCTAAATATTCGCATATTTATAAGTAATACTGATAAATGTTCAAACAGAGAGACATGGAAATTGCTTGTCATGCAATTGCAGATTGACCGAATACGAAAAATTAAAAAGAAACTTTTTAAACATCGAAATTTGGAGATGTCGAGTTTAAGACCGATGACAGATATCATCCCGGTTTATCGCGCATATATATTACATAATAACTAGGCTTGCAGCGTTATCCGTCGGCGATTGCCGGCGGCGATAAATTAGCCTAAATCTCGGTGTATTTAAGGGTGATCTTGAGGTGCGAGGAATTACGAGCTCACCTTCGCCACCGCTAAGCCGGCGGCGGCCACGCGGCAGCTCCTTTCACCGCCGAGCACCGCATGCAAGAGCGATCCTAATCGCGACTCTATCGCGATTAGCGCCGAGGACGTCCGCAAAGCTGACGCGACTCTTTCTAGACCTCTGACACGCGCTCGCCAGTCGTCCTGCAAAAGTGACAAGATATCAAACGAAAAGATGATTGGAATTTCTGCGACACGTCATACATCGTAACCGTCTAATCCATTCCACGTGATATTTTATCAGTTACACTTCGACGTCATCAAATATTTAATCGCAAAGAAAAAAGTTTATCATCTCATTTTAATTGCGTGGTAAGAGAGAAATTTTTATTTATGTAATATATGAATATTTAAATTTTTGTTATAAAGTTTGATGCGCTTAACGTTGGAATCTCCGATGGTGTCATTTTGGCTCATCATTTCAATTTTTTTTAATTAAATATACAGTACAAAATATTGAAAATATATGATAATATAAATAATTCTAATGGAATAAATAATATCAAAATAATTTTTCAATAACAAATGAAATCAAGGAAATTGCCAAATTGATACCTTCGATAATTCTAGTGGAATATTATCAATGGTCCTAGTGTTAAATATTAATATTGCTTAAATAATTTAAAAATGTATGATCCTCGTCGAAAAAAGATCACCAACTTACGCACCAAAATGTCTGAAGAATAAAAGTTAATTTTATCATAAGATCGATTTCGCCGATTGTTTCATTCTTCTATCCATGCAATCGTCTCGCGTGCACATGCAAATCTCCCAACAATTACACGTGATAAGAATAAGCCGCATTTATCCGGTTGTTCTCGGGATTAACTAGTCAAATACTCGAGTAAAATCTAATCTCTAAAACGTCACTTTAATCACATATGTTAGTCATTTCTAATACATCTTTCTAACAATACTTGATTTTCTTCTACTTTCGCGATTTCCTTCTATTTCATCTCCTGAATAAAAACAAATTAGAATAAAAGAATTCCTCCTGCGGCAGATTCAATTACAAACAGGTGAGCAGTGTCGCTAGAAATTCACAGTCGACATTATTGATCGTCGCAGCGGAACTGAACGCAATACATCCGCATTTTCACCGCGTGCACTTCTATCGAGCTCTATAACCGCAGAATCGATACGAACACATCGCATTAATATATTTTTTTACCGCATTCTTCACGGTTTCGGTGTATGCAATTAACCTTTTCAATAATTTTTTAACGTCTTCATCCGTTTTCGTGTCGACGAATGAACAAAGGCGACGAGTCTAAGCAGAGTGTATCTATCGATATATACTTCTACTTGCGCCACAATGAATCAGAGAACAGTTTGAAAATTGCACTTACAGCCACGTCGGTGCAACGCGACGGGTACAATTGCCGACGATTTACATATACACGGGAATGACGCCTTCCTGGACCTGAACGACGCGGCACGCAACACGTGCCTAATTATTTTCTTGCAGCTTACCACGCGCGTTTGCCCTCTCTTATATATGCCCGTCCGTAGCATAACGATCCGCGAGGCAGATCTCCCGTCGTTTTTCACCCGCGGAATATTCATACGGGCGCTGATATCAGCCTCGAAGAGTTGTATCACGCGGCATGATATAAGAGTATGTACGTTTGCGCTCATAAAGTCTAAAATTTATATAGCGCGTAAAAAACAGAAGCGATAGTATTTATTGTTCTCATCCTGAATCACTAAGAAAGGAAAAGCCAAGTCCTCGAAGAATTTTTGCATCTCGCGTAATTTATCGAAATTATCACGTTTTCGCGATTTAATTGAGAAGAATATAACACAGAAGTTTACAGCTGTAATGTTTGCGATATTATTACAATGTTAGGTATTGGAATGATCTGCGTATGGGAACTACAGAGATCATGAAACATCTACGTTTCGAAAATTTCTGCTTCCATAATAACATTCTATAATAATTTTAGTTGAAAATTTAATTTCCTAAATATTTATGATAAATAAAAAAAGATTACGTCAAGCAACTTTGTTAAATCTTTTTGCCGAGAATCGACTTTATATTGAACTTTAAAGCACCTAGTCCAGGTGAGATAGAGCCCGCAGGTGACATCGCGAATCAATTATGCAGCATAATACGATGTTGCGAATAAGTCGAAGCCTTGCTCGAGATTGTATATTATATATATATATATATATATGTGTACATATATATTCTGTTCCCTTGATTGCGGCGAACGATGTCTCACGGAAATCGATCGTGTGGCATCAGTATTTATTTTCACAGGCCTCTCGTAGACGCACGTCGACGAGGTCGCACGTGCATTCATAAAAAGGTCTAGTGCAGCCGGTGCAGCGACCTTGAAGTTACTCGGTGAATGAACATAAAGCATACTTTCGATCTGCACAGTTGCTGGAACTTTAATCATACATGCGTTAATACTGCGAGTACAATGTTTCCTTATATAAATTTAGCAGTATTATATTATTATAATTGATCCGCGACTGCTTATCTTTTAAAAGACACGATCGACACAAGCCGTCGGTTCTATCCTTCATGGCATATTCAATGAATAACACAGATAGAATGATACACTTATGTCGACTGTGTCTTTTAAAAGAAGAACAGCCAGTATTAACTTTTCAAGGTTGATTTTTTCGCAGTAATAAATTTTATCGCTGATCGTTGATTAATCGAATTTGGATTTTATCGTTCGTATATATATATATATATAAATTTTTATTTTTTACATTTCTGCTCTAAGAAAAGATTATATGATCGCTATCCAGAGCGATTGCACCGTTTGAACAGCTGAGCTAACGGAATTAGTATGCCTAGAACCTGCGGAATTCTTTGGCCATGACATTCCCCACTCACACTTCAGGAGTGGACTTATTTACCGAACTGGTTTATCTATCTGTCCTATCTCTCGTTAAAATTGATTAAAATAATATAAAATGTTTTATGGAATAGAAATTAAAATACAGTTAAACATACATCATATTGGCGCATTTTTAACACATCTACACAATCAATATTAGATATTAGAAGATATTTAAAAAAATGACAATTTGTTGTGAAGCAATAAATTTAATGCATATAAACTGCAGACAGAATCGTCCATATCATAAAAAACGATGGTGCATTTATAACAATACTTTGTTATAATTGTTTGTTACCAAATAGATTGCTTGGGGCTGGCAGTACTTTAGATCCATCACTGTCGGGAAACGGTGCACGAAACTGGTCAGTGTCAGTTGCCTCGGCAGAAGGCGGAGAGAATGTTCGTCTCGTGAGTTTTAGAAAATTACGTCGTTGAAAAATCATAAGCGGAGGATACGCCAAATGATACATTTGCAAAACTGTGAACGTGAGAACCATATCTCGCCATATCGATATAATCATGTTGCGGCAGCGGAAACGCGCGCTCTTCCGGATACTTCAAATCATCATCTGTCTTGGAATTGTCTTCTTGATGCTGAAGCTATCCCTCGCCGTTATCGGCGATGAGAGCAGACCTCTTCCTATCGACGACGATCTGAGAAAACTGATGGTAAGTCACTGAGATTTGAAATCTCAAGGAGATTGAGTATAATTCTGCATCGTTTATCCCAGATCGAGGCTGAAGCGGACAACATGAGACGATTGTTGAATGTTGAAAGAGTATGTAAAAAATATAATTTGGGGTTTTATCGAAAGCTTGCCGATAATTCTCCATTTAGGCATCCACCTGCACCGCAGTATGCCGTCTTCTATATGGATAGGTTCGTAAAAAGTATCAGAGAGAAAAAAAGAAAATATATTTCAGCTATTAACGATCGATAAAATGTCAAGATGATGATTTCTGCACAGAGTACACAACATATCATACTGTCCAGTATACAAAGCCGGCACCACAACCTGGCTCTACAATTTTTGTCTGTTAATGAACGTGCCCGAGGAGACGCTAAACAATGGTAAAGAGCAGCTGTCGACTATCGCCAGAAGAGTGATACCGGAACTTGAGTATCCTGAGGCCGATCGCGTTTTGACAACGAGCAGAAGATTGTTGGTCGTGCGACATCCTTTCGAGAGGGTGCTAAGCGCCTATCGTGATAAACTGGAAAACTCCATCGCCGGACGGGAACACGGGACGCTTCACTTCTATCGCAAATACGGAGCCAAGATTGTGCAAAAGTATCGCAGTAAGTCGTGAGAACAATAAAATGAAGGAGAAACATTGATTAAAAATTGTTTTTTTTTATTCTGCGCGATAACCGTTACCACGAGAACAGATTTATTTTTACGATTATATAATCCTTCTATTGATAAATATATATATAATTACTTTCTTACCTTTTCATTACCACATTTCGTTCTCGTTAAAAATATAAATTTTGTTACTGTTTAAAATTCGATATAGATATATCGAATAAGCGTTCATTGATTGAAGGGTTAACTTTTAAGTTTTGACAACGTATCAAATATATTTTAATATTATTAAAGAAAAAAGGCTATGAATTTGATAAATTTTTAGAAGAAAATTTCACGGAGCCACGATTGAATCAAGTGATTCGACGCGAGGGTGTACCGCCGCCAGCTGGGGTTGAACCGACCTTCCAAGAGTTCGTCGAATACATGATCGAGACTGACCTAGGTAGTTACGGAGACGACCACTGGATGCCATATTATCTCTTTTGCACGCCGTGCCTCGTTAAATACGACATTATCTCGAAGGTATCGAAAATTGCATCCGAAATCGCTGAATATCGCTTGTAATCTTTTGCGTTAACACTAAAAGTACCCAAGTAGCACATACGTAGAGTTTACAAAGCGTCAAGAAAGCGCGAAAAAATCATATAAGCGCTCTTTTAACGCTTTATAGATATTGCTGTGCTACTTTAGGAATAAAAGTATCAAGCGAATAAATTACTATGAAAATAAAAAAATTGAAAAATTAAATATTTGATTATAATGTAAAACATAATGAAAATATTAAAAAAAATTCTGTTTTTTATACAAGAGAAATATAATATTATATAATTTAAAAGATAGAATCAGTCAATAATGAGACCGCTATCGGTACGTCTACTATCAAATAATTAAAAAATGTTAAATATGTATGTATTGAAATTTCTATAAGGAATATCTCATATTAGCAATTATTTTAGAGCTCATGTAACGTAATAATAATTTTTCAGGTGGAATCGCTGTGGAGAGATCAGGTGTATACAATCAATAAATTAGGATTGCAAGACAGGATCAAGCCTAGATGGAGACATAGTAACAGTTATATTAACGCCTCCAAAATATACTTCAGCCAGTTAAACAAAGAAATGGTGCGGAGACTGTACGAGAAATTAAGACTGGATTTTGAACTGTTTGATTATTCGCCTGATATTTACTACGAATATGCTACGTTTATTAATTAAAATTGATCGAGTGTAATGAGTTCTGCGTCAACAGTCTTTTATAATATTATAATATTATAATATAATTATCGTGTCTAGAGCACTGATGTAAATCATCGATGGCCACAGAGCAGGCACCTTATTCGTGAGATTTAAAAAAACAAAAGAGAAAAATACGTTAAGCCTGTACACGCGCACACGTAATCCTGATAATTGATGGAGCTTAAATCACGTTACGTCACGCGACGAACTTTTGTCGACGACGAAAATCGATCGACCTACTTCTCACCATACCTAATGTATCGGACCGGCGGTTTGTCCTAAAGTCAAGGGTCCTTGAGTGGACACGTTAATCGTCAAGGATCGCGACGTTGAAGCAGGGCATTACCCTGTTAACACGCGGCAAGAATGGTGCCAAATGAATCTCACACAAATTTCCACGAAGTCACATCTAACTTAAATTTCATCAAAGAATAACATCACGATTTTTTCCAACTGTGATATATAATATATATTAAGGTCTATGAGTCCAACTGAATTACAGCTGAATGTTCATAGTTTTAAAGATCTCTTCCCTTTGTTATTTGCGAGTTAATTTTTAAATATAATTTCTATATATAATCCAATATCATTGGGAGTACAAATTAGTTCTGTTTTCCAAAAGATGATCGCCTCCAAAAACGGGTCATTTTTTCAAGATGAAATTCGAAAATTGCCTGAGAGATGGGAAAAAGTAGTAGCCAGCGATGGGCAATACTTTAATTAATCTGTTCATTCATTTTGTTTTGAAATAAATGCATTTTTGAACACAAAAGAAAACGGACCGAACTAATTTGTACACCTAATAAATATGAAGACTTCGATCAGTTTAATACAATATTATTTGGGGAATTTCAAGAGTGATACCAAAAATATAATTATTATTTATAAACATAAGTTTTAACGATGGAGATAAATACAGGCAAAGCTGCATTTATCAAGAGATGTATTTATACTAATTGTAAATATTTCATCAAAAAAATCAACGATACGTTTTATATAATAAAATTTGCACGTGCATCAATTTACCTTGTTGTGCAGGTCATCCAACACCTCCTGGCCAACCAATCCCAATTCCTCCCAGCTAGGTTCCTGCGGTTTACCCTCGCTCTCGCTACTACTACAAGTGACACTTTCGTTCCCCTCTGACGAGTTCTCCTTCTTTCTGTCGTACTGGCTGTGCCACTCTTTTTGTCCCTCACCGTTCACGATGGTCACCGCACGATCGTCCGTAATTATGCCGCAAGTACGCACGTCTCGTTCATCGTCGTCATCATCGTCGTCATTGTCGATGAAGTCGCCGCCGGGCAGACAATCTATTTGCTCATTGCACTCGTTTACTGGTGATCCGAACGGGAAACTGTTGGACCTGCGAGACAAGTTGTTTCCTGACGACTTCTGTTCGTTCAAACATTCCCTTTCTAACTCGAAGCCATCGTCCTTCTCTCGGAATGTCTTTTTACGTTCTGGACTTGATGATTTTATCATCCTGTAATTCTTCTCTTGCTTCAAAAAAGCTTCAGAAACATTACTTCTGTTCAAATCGGTCGCATTCACGTGATCGTTTCTCTTAAGGATCATCGCTTGCTCCCCCTTTGAAGATATGTTATTCGAGGTTTCTATCGCTGCAACCTGAACTGACTTAGACAGATCATTTTCATCGTTACTTCTTGTCAATTTGTCTTCACTATTTGCTGACAGCGCAATAGCCTGAACTAACATAATTTCTTCTTTCTTTGACGTTTCATTAATTTCTTGCGAACTACTGCTTATGCGAGAAGCTTCATTTTCTAGAATCGTTTGATCACTACTTTTTCTAACTTTTTTCGTGTTCTTTATTTCTTCCTTTGCTGAATTGATTACAATGAGAGGTCCACCCGTCTTCGTCAAAATACTTTTCTTAGGACTTAGCTGTGCGTTGTGCGTGTACTCTCTCTTAGGACTGCTGGATGCTGACCTGGAAGCTCTCTTCGATCTTCGCTTCTCCATGTGAGGACTGCAGGGTTGTGACGATGGTCGCCTCCTCGTCATTTCCGGCATCTTAGTGGCTGGCGACACCGGAAGTGGAATCCTCGTCTTAGGCGTTATCTCGATTGATTCTGTCTCGTCGCTGTCGGGTGTCCTTAGTTTCACGATCTCGCCGCCAAAGTGGACACGTCTGGGTGTCCTGCGTTTATCTGCGGACAATGATTTTTCAACAACGCTGTTTTTCGCGTCGATCTCTTTCCAATTTTTTTTTCCCTCGTTATCCTCGCTATCATCGTCGTCTTTTTCTTCTAGGATTGTCATCGTGATGGCTGTCTCCTCATTGAACTTGATCTCGGTTGCCAGAACAACTCTTGACGGTGGTATCGCACCTCCGGCGTTCGGTATCTGATCGTCTTCTTCCTCAGCGATACCAGAAGTGTCGCTGTCGCTATCCCAGGATTTGTCAAAGGCGCGCTCTTTCTTGTCAGCCTTCATAATGTCCTGCGTGCGGTTTCTGTCCTGCTTGTTTTTGGTCGGCTTGATATTATATATTTTGGAGAGAACATCAATATTCTTCTTAAACTTGTCGTCATAATCTGCCAAGTAACTCTCGAATTCTTCCTCACCGACTACGTCACGGATCTTCATGAGAGACTTCAGAACGGCTTCTTGATGTGGTACCTGGACTAATCGTGAGGCGAAGGCGATCGTGGCATCCTTCAGAATTTGCGTTGTTGGAGGAGGACTATTCAAAGATGGAAAGAGCAGCAGAGGTGCACTCAGGATTACGCCTGTCGTCACGTTTGTTTGAAACGGATTGTGAGCATCCGGGCGATTCAAACCGTCATGAAGGATCTGAAATAAAGAAAAGCATTTCTTGATAAGGCATTATTATTTTCGTAAAAATTAAACGCTCATAAAACGACCACAGAAAAGTTTTAGAAACTCGTGTAATACTTGGATTGAGAAATAATAATTGAGAATTTAAAAAGAAATAAGTTCCTTTAAAAAGAAATAAGTTACGGACGCTTACGTTTTTAACCATGTTTTCCCTGTTGGGGCTATGAACCAGGTAGACCCGCAGCGTGTCCAGGGCGCCTTTACGAACCGCCGGCGCTGGATGTCCCAAATTATTGATCAGCTCCTGCACCACTGGTTGCATGACCTTGTCAACGACATCGGTATTCAGCGTCGGCAAAACGTCCATCAGTACCCGTAGGGCGTGTTGGCGAACCTCCCATTCCGGATCCCGAAGTCTCTCGGAGATCTCGATGAAGGTGGCCTGCGTGTCGACCTCGGACGGAAATCTATGCGTACGCACCTATCCAAAGATGATCAGCTTGTTAAATTTATTCATGTTTAAAAAGGAAAACTATAAGGAGATAGAACATATATATAGGAATACACGCTAAAACTTTTAAAATGAATTGTCATTTCGAAGAGTAAAATTTCAAAAGTAGCTCGATTTCTTTTTCTCCATTCTTTTTTACTATTGGCTCAATTTTCACTTTTTAGAGTTTCCACCACAAAAAATTTAAAGCATATAAAATATTGTATTCTTATTCCGAACGTACCACGTGTTCCCAAAGAGGTGTGAGTTGTATTGCTTGTCCAGACGGAGGAGCGGACGTCATTCTACGTCGCGCCTGGTGACAATGATGACGATTACCTCGCCGTGCTGACGAACCGTTGTCCTCCGACAAGGACGATGGTCGAGCGACGGGAAGCGACGCGGGTTCTTCCTGGGGCTGCAGCGGCCCCGTATCTGTCGATCCTGTCATAGATGACGACAAGCAGCCAGACATATCCCCCTACGTCTCGTCCTTCGGGTACCACCGATTGTCCGTCATGATCTCCAGCGAATTTGTCTCCTCACCATTCATCGATGGTTCTAATGACATATATATGTGCGATTGCTATGCTAAAATAAAATTACATGAAATTGTATCAAATTGATATACCCTCTCGCCTTTACCTTTGAACTTTAAGATTAATATTCGCGCCCCTCCTCTATAAATCTTTCTACATAAATTACGAAAAAAACTGGCAGGTAGTTTCTTAAAATTATCGAAAGAAGAAAAAGGGTTTCATAGCGCAGTACAATAATGATAACCACGATAATAATAGTAATATAAGGAAAAGATAGATTGATCCTTATAACTAAGTTAACTAACTTAACTAGAATTGTAAAGACCGGATATGCTGACATAAATGTAGATATGCCAATTTAACGATCGACATCGTAAGGTCGAGGTTCCTATGGCTTAAAAATTACAGCGAAAGTCCCAAACAAGGAGTTACCAGAGTTTTTATTGGTAATTTAAAATGTAAAATCTGTTATTCCATATTAGAGCGCGAATTAAATTTTATGTATTAAGATTTCTTCATCGTGTTTGTAAGTATATATTGGATTGTGACGTCCAAAGAGCGAATGAAGCCGCACCAGTGGAGGAACATATACAACTCGCACCTGATTGCGCCTCGCTTTAATATTATATTCGATATTACTCGAACGAGAGAAGTCGAGTCCTTCCAAATGTCCATCAAATCATCCTACAGTTCCCCATCACCCTCACGACTTCCTTCAAAACCGACGGTGAATGACTGACGTTTGTTTTGCTTCCGGGATGTATGATGCACGATTGACGTTGCAAAGACAGCTGTCGCTGTCAAAGAGGCAATGCTTATCATGCGATATGAATGGTATCATTTCCGAGACGAAATGCATAATTCATGAACGTATCTCGTAAATAAGAAAAACCGGTCAAAACACAGTCAAGTTTTGCACACGTCTTTCGCTTTGTCTATTATATATATATATATATATATACCTGAAAATGTATATTATTAATATACATTTCGCCCAATACGCGCATTTTGCACGAAGGTAAATCCTTCTGATTCTGATCATCATCTCTGACGATCGCCGAAAGATGATAGAAGTATTTCAACAACATTAACGTTAAAATTGTATCGATATTATGTGGATAAACCGGTACTTTTAAGGAAAAATCACCTCGCGAGAGGGAAGTCTCGCCAAGTTTATCATTAAATCTCTCACGACATGAACCGTGTGTAAAAAAGTAGCACACACGAAACGCGATTGCATAATACGGGGAAAAACGTGCGTACACCTCATATATTTTTTTGAAACATACATGATAATAATTAAAATTCTCGTGCTTTTAAAAGCTTTAATAGCGGATAATCGTAGATAACGAAAGCACTGTACTTGATATTAATTATAAAATTGTACAGTCTGTGCTAAATTTGTCTGAGATAAATTTAAGAGAATTGATAAACACAGAATTTTATCAGAATTATCAAACGAATAATTTGTTTAATCAGCTTGATCTTCAAAGAATTGTGACTAGTTATTTCCACTTTATTTCCATTCTAGAAATAAAATTCTTTAATTTTTAGTACTACTGTTCTTAATTATTTTCTAATTACTGAATTCAAAATAAAGATTGCAGAAAGAAGTTTAAGGACTTTAGAGACATCTCTCTTAATTTCTAAGATTTAAAATTAATCTCACAAAAGTTAATTTCTCTTATTCTTATTTTACTATAAAAGACAGTTTACTCCAGAAAATGTTTATTAATAAAAGAATTCACAACTAAATTATCTACAAAATTATTTTAAATCAGATATCTTTAAAAGTATTCCGTATAATCTTTTAAATGTAATAAAAAAAGAGAGAAAAGAAAGTAGATAGTATAAAAACTTTATATAACTTGCGGATTATTAGAATAATATATAATTTAAAAAAATTTAGATATTTTTATTTTAAAGATGACACATATTGAAAACTTTATCGAAAATTTTAAAATACTTAGGTAATTAGTTAACGTCTCTCAATCAAAGTATTGCAATTGTGAAAATACAGTTTTATAGCTGGAGAGTTATTGTATTTTTAAAGTTCGTGAAGAATTATAAAAAAACAAAATGTATTTCAATAATGATTTCGTGTATTGTTTAGAAAGCGCAATCACAAAAGTAAAATAATAAAGATAATTTAAGAAAATTTAACTGAAAAGATAATATAAGAAAATGATTGTAGTGTTACTTAAAAATACAATTGCGATATATATTATGTTGCCGGCGCACTTTGGCGAGTTATTATAATTATAATTATAAATTATTGACGACAAAGCTTACTTTATGTGAAGCGGCGATGGAACGCGTGGGTACGACGGCGAGAGTATGCACTCGACCGCGGCCGGCATGTGACTATCCGCCACCGCGTTCTCCATCGGGGAAGGAACTGCTTCGCAGTTAATATCGACCACCCCCGTTCGTCTCCCCACTTTGGCGAGAGAAAATCGTCTTATACTTTACAACGAGCTGTAGCGTTGCAGTACCTTGACAGAGGGTATCAGGGGAAATAAATCATCGTCAAAGTATCCTTGCGCGAGAAGATAGGGATGAACCGTAGTTTTTTTTTGTATACTCTAACAAATTGTCTTCTTCCCGGTAGTGCGAGGAATAATTTTCTAACGATGTGTTAATCAATGGAAAATAGATGTAATAGACGTGATACCGAATTGCAATAATACTTTGTCATTTCGACGTTATTTTAAAAATTACGTTTAAAAGTAATGTTGCACGTTGCAACGTGAATATCTTAATTATTCGTTTGTACAGTATATCCTGCTCGTGTTTAGTTGTCAAAGTTTTGACGAGCTATATCCGTTTCTTCCAATATTTACAATGCGTCAGTCTTGCTTTACTGACTCTGATTAATCGCTTCATTATTCAGTCATAGAAAAGTGTCTCCTTTTTCGCGAATTAAAAATCTTTCCTCCCGACGATTCTTCTCTCATCGATTCAAATGTTATCCTGGCGCATCTGTATTGTAAGGAACGATTAACGAAAAAAAAATTTATCTCGGTTGACTGCAGAAGATATGAAAGATTGTACGTGTGCTTGCAGTGATAGAAGCTATAACGAATGTATGCCAATGAATGCGCGAGACGGCACGCGATATTCATGAAACTGAACACGAACAATTTCGAAATTCCATCACGGGGAATTCCGAGTGGACACGCTTCCGAACGATTAGAGGAAGAATTTCAAATAAACGAAGTTTCAGCGACGAATGCAGAAACAGAGTGAAGCAGCGACGGTTGATCGATTTCGCTTATAATGCCCGGTTCATATCGCGAGTCTTATCGAGCTCGTTTGCTATTAGCGGTATACCCGCATATAATGTCGCAATTCAATTTACCGATTTTACCGTTTTCTTGGAAAGAGAAGTCGTCTTATACGATGACAAAACACATACTTTCTTCACGATCAATTTAATATATCGAAGTTCTTAATTGCGTTCATTACAAAAATTCCTAGTTAATAAATACTGATATGATACAAGTAAATTATAGATCCATCATTAGCAGAGTAAAGAGATATTTTATCAATTTCTTGTAATAATGTTTATGATTCTGAACAGTACTATGAATATTTATAAGCTGTACTTGTGCAATTGTATAATATAGTTGTAAGTACGTCACTGCAAATAGATATTGTTTGTCATCATAAATTTTTATATTAAAGTTGAAATTGATGAAATATCACCCTATCCTATTATTCTCATAGCTAGAAAAACATGCAAGTAATATTGGAAATTTAGATCTGCAAGAAAGGAAAACATATGTTCAAGTGTAGAGAATATAACAATTCTTTACTTAGCTTTCCATTAAAATTTCACGTGAACTTTACATGAAAATGTACTACAATTAAGGGAAATAATTTACATTTATCTTTGTCAAGTTATCTTCATCATTAAAAATCGTAATTTTGATATAGATCGTATTTTGATTTTTAGAGATGCTAATTTGATAAAGATTTTATATTTCTTTTCTTTCATTCGCGAGATGGGAAATATATAATACAATGGCACAATATATAAATAAAACTCTTCACACAGTAGAAAGCTTGGTCAACGTATCAGCATACTGAAATTCTGTACTGTTCTCATAGTCGCACATGTCCAAAGCGATAACACAACTCTCATGAACAACTTTTTTACTATCATTGAGGTATCTGTTCAATATCTCGTAGCACTCAGGAGTAGCAATGGAACCTAAAGCTTCTGCACACTCATGCCTGACCATCTCGTTTTCTTCCATGTCTTCCAATGATGCTTGCAATCCTGGCACAGATGCCTCGTCTTGAAGTTGTCCTAATACAAACGCTACCTCGTGCTTGAACAGAGCACTACCAGTCTTTAGACCTTTGCACAAAAACAATATTTAAGAAGTTAGTGCTAAAATTTAATATTTTTAATTAATATAATTACCTTCAGTAAGAGCTAAAATGCTCTCTCTGGTACTTAAATTTCTCAGTGAGAACATTGCTCTGTATCTGTCAAACAATGACTTGCTTTCATCTAACAAAATATCCCTTAAGACTTTTACATCTGTTATTTCCACTGGTGGTGCAGGATCAATAGTTGAATATGGATTTTTTTGTAAGTCCTTTGCATTGCTATTACATTCTAACCATCTCAATCGATTTAGGGCCAATTGACACGTTTCTGCTACTTCAGGTATAGGATCTTTGCAATACTTTTCCAGCAATGGAATTACACTTGACTCACCGATAGCACCCAGTGCTTCTCCTATGAAAAAAATACATATAGATATAAAATAATATAAATAATAAATACTTTCTAATTTTTTTTAAGTGAGGTCTGATTCTAAAGAGTAAAAATAAAACTATCTTAAAAAAGAGTGTCTTAATTTTCAATCTTTAAGAGCAAGATTTTACTCTTTACAGTAACATTTATTCTAAAAGTTTTAAATAATAGATCCTTAATTCTTTTCATTTTATGTTTTGAACAGATTATTGAAACTTAGACAAGACTTGTATATGCTGAATACATACCAGCTTCGTGACGTACCATCGGCTCCTGTGATAAATCCTCCAGGACATTTGTTAAAATACTAATGGCTGCAGGATCCCGCATCTGACCTAGACAGTACGCAAGCTCATGTTTCAACAACACCGACGAATCTTTGAAGCATGCATGAATCTGATCTATTGCCATTGCACCACCAATATTCTTCAGAGTGAATAGAGCACGAAATCTCTCTTTTAGAGGTCTGGCAGAGTCATTTAAGACTTTGCCTATAGTTAAAATATCGTTTTTACTCGCTTGAACCATTTTTAATCAAATGACAAATATAAAGATATAAATATAAATGAAAAATAAAATTTCGAATATCTCAAACCTGCAAAAAAATACATATAATATGATAAACATGTGATTACAAAAATATCATAAATTTTTAATTACATAAAGAAAAAGAAAAATATGTACAAAATATTATATAAAAATGAAAAATTTATAATTACATACTGTTGTCAGTGTTGACAGACTGCTTACTAATTTAATTAATTTTCAGATATTATTTATCAATCTAATGAGTAAGTTATCATTAATGTGTTATTATTAAATTAATAATTCATTTATCTCACAATTCAATGCGGTAATTTTTTAGGTTAACATGCCACTAGTGACTTTTTTATTTCAGCACTAGTAGCAGAGTAGTCAGCCACTAGCCACTAGTTAAAACGAGCATCCATGATCGAACTTAACGATTTTCTAGTTTTTTTTTAAATAAAATTTACGGTAAAACATATTTTACATTGGCAACACTGTTACATATATGCATTTTGGAACACTGTCAGCTGATTGAAACCATTTGTACTCAAGTACAAAGACTCAAATACCAGATTTTTTCGGAATATGAGAAGTAAAAACGTTTTTGACAATTTCTGACATTAAGGACACAATATACTTCTGAATTATCTAAACTCTTCGATCTTGTATTAAAATTTTTGTTATAATTTTTGCATTATAATTGTTAGTCAGAGGAATATTGACATGAAATTTTGCGTTGATGTGCACAAGTAACCTCTAGGATAAAATTGACTTGCATCTCCTAAAGACATGGAGCCACAAAAGAATCACAATATTGCTTTAAGTGAAAGTACAATATTAAGAGCATGTGCCTCGACGAGTAATGAAGGTATATGTACACTTACTGGTATGCTAGATCGCACCGAAGTTAGATACTGGATGCTGCACCTTTATTTTGAAGTATTTTGATGATTTCTCTGTATTCCCATCTAATGCCGTTAGTACAACTTTTGCTAAGTTTTTCAGTCATATTAATAATTGTGTATCAAATAAAAAAGCTTGGTAATAAGCCGAGCAATAACTGCACTAGAATGGGTTAAATTGTATCATGATCACAACTTCAAAATTTATGGATGATAATAATAATGAGAACTTTGAATTTAGCGGAGAGATTACGAAACCTCCAGGAAGATAAACATTCTAAATTAACAATTGGAGCATTTTTCGATTTTATGAGAACTGCATATCAAGTTAATGATAGTTGTGAAGGTCTGGCTACGATATTGAGTGCTAACAGTGAAATCGACTGGCATGAATTAGCAAAAATTAATTTAGACCTTGAAACGCGTGAGGGTAGTAGAGCAAATAATATCAGCTGTCATACTAGTACTGACAAACAGCAAAATGAGAATGATGATCCTATAAAGGTGTTACTGACACAAATGAGTAATAAAGAATCAAATTCTTGTACATCAGAAAGCACGATAAGTTCACAATCTTCTGTGACGTCTTGTAATAGCATTATTTCTAACACATGTAATAATGGTCCTGTGAAAGAATCTACTAGCGTGGACAATTCTTCTAATAAATGTTTAGAAACAGAAGATAATATTAAAGAAAATCAGTTATCAGGCAGTCGAGTCCAGAATGAAAAGGGGAAAGTATTACAGACTAAAGAACATTTGGAAGAGAATGAATGTGGTTTGGCGAAAGTCATGAAGGAAAATTTAAGAGATATTTTGCATGAAGGATTACTGGACTCCGTTTTGCCATATATGCTGCCAAAATCTGCCCTATCGCAACCTGTTATTAAGAAGTCCACTGCTGTTGCGGATGTTAAGAAAAGTTCTTCTTTGAATAATGTAATTGAAAGCAAAGCCTCAGTTCATAAAGAAAGAGACAAGGAGAAAAATAAAACAAACAAGAAATCATTGGAGTAAGTCTTTTAATTGCAATTACATTTTCAAACATCTTGCCATATAAAGTTAAAAGTATTTTTAAGAAATGGTTTAATTGGTCCTTTTTAATTATATATAATTAACATTATTTCTTTATATTGTATTACAGGAATGAAGTGGAAATTCATGTTTGCGATGAAGATAAAAATATCAGAAAAAACTTTCGATGCCCACAAAAGCTTCTTATACAAAAAATGTGTTATTTCGCTGATGTAACAGCAGGACAGAAACTCGATGAGATAGACATATCGGTGCACTGTGATGTGGTTATTTTTGATTGGCTGATGAGATGGGTAAAGAAGGATATCATAAAAAAGTCAGAATGGCCAGTTTTAGAGGCAAATAACGTTATTCCAATTATGGTGTCCGCTTGCTTTTTACAAATGGAACCGCTTTTGGAAAATTGTCTGCAGTATTGTCACGACAATATGTCAGATATCTTAAAAACATCAACAATTTTAACATGTCTAGATGATAATCTTCTTACAAGGTATGCATTTTACTATTGTTAATAGTTTTCATTGTATTTCGCATGATGTATTACATCTAACTAAGTAGTAATAAATAATTAATTTAAAGCTTTCTCTTTTTAAAACAATAAAACTAAACTTTCTTTTTTTCTCCTTTATTGATGTTTATAATTATCTGTAGATTGGCCGAATTATTTACCAATGAAGATGTTGAAATGTTAAAAGATAAAAAAGATAAAATTCAGAGTCGTTTGTTCTGTAAGTTAATTATATCTCTAATGGAGACTACTCCAGATAATAAAAAGGGGCACTATAGTTCATTGGCTATGATGTTTAGATGTGGAAAATGCGGCAAGAATGTTATACAATCAATTTCCGATTTTGTGCCTTGCGTTCCAAGTGCAATGAAAATTGGTAATAAGGGAACTATTCACAGTAAACATGTCAGGTACACACGACATATATATATTGATATGTAAGTATTATTCTATGAAAAATTTAAGAAATAAATAACTTTACAGAGATTTGACTTGGACACTGAATGACTATGTCATTGCTTTGCGATCCGAGTTGCGCTCCTGGCGCAAAGTGTATTGGAGATTGTGGGGAGACTGTCATTTCGTGTTCTGTCAACAATGCAACATATACTTTCCAATACATCAGATCAGTTGGTGCAGTTATCATCCAGAACTTGCACAATTCTTCGTAAATGAGCAACAGAGACCTATGCCGTTTCCATTAGGAAGATACCCGTGTTGTAGCCAATCTGCCTACAAATTTGAAACTTTATCAAATTATCAAAGTGGATGTAGATACAAAGTTAGTATCAACGTCATGTGTCTTTAATTGCGTTATAAAAATGAATTTATATTTTTTATGAATAAATATATATATATATATATACATATATATAAATGATAAAAATATAGTTTATTTAAAGATTTCTATTGTTCCTTTTTTTTAGGAACACATATCAGATATAAAGGGCGTGAAGGAATTAAATATTTTAAATATTTTATCAGCACACAGAGAAGTGATAACTTTGGAAGCACCCCAACTTTTTTTCCCAGAAAAAATTACACGGCTAGTAACACATGATCCGTCTCTTCGTTCAGGCAAATTAGTGTGCAAGGATACAATGTGGTGGAATGGAATAGAGCTCGTACCACAGAGATCGAAACTTGGTTTACTCGGTAAATTGTCACTGCTTTCTTTTTTATATATACAGGATTAAATTTTATAACGCAGAAAAAATTCATAAAAACAGGAAAAATTTGGGGAGGTTCGGGACTTCGTCGATTACTTCAAGTGCAAGATTCACAAAAGTCTTTACAAAAGATTTATCAGCGAATTTCCGTAACGACCGATATTTCGTCTCCCACTTCCTCGATTACAGACGAGGAAGACGAAGATGACGGCGGGACCGTGTATGAAGACAGCAGTGTAGATGACGAATCTTATTACAGTGAAGAATCCAATACGTTATGCACGTTAAAACCGATGACTAAAGCAAAACATCAAAATAGTCACAAGTAACAAATCGTATTATTGAAATATTAAGTATCTTTATAACACAGAATGTTTATATATGATTTTCCATATATTGTTTCCAGGAATGGTAGGTGTTGGAGCGGGAATTTGAATGTAAGACACAATCAAGATAATCAGAGAGATTTTGAGGAAAGAGCTGCGGTGCAAATGATAGCTCTTCTGACAAAGAGAACAATCACAGGCAATTTACTTTCGAAATTTAACAAGCAACAACATGGCTATAAAACTAAGCAACCTGTTGGTATGTTTTTCATACAGTATATATTACTGTCATATTAAGGCTGTGTTCTGATATTCACTGCAGAAAATTTTCAATATTGGCAGTGAATATCAAAATGCAGCCATATATAGTGAAGTCTAAAAGTTTCAGAACAGCTAGTTATCTCAGAAAGAACTGGTTTATTGGAAAAATATTTCAAAGTTGTAGAGTTTAAAAAGATCTATTTACTGAGCTTACCAGTTTAACCTTGGATGGAGTCGCCAATGTCAAGTCAAGTTCACCTTTATTTAAAAATGAAGTGCTCTATTTTTTATTCCAGAATTTAATCGCTGGTGTCAAGAGCTTTTCAAAATACTAAAGTTAATTTTTATTAAATACTTTTTGAGTTATAAGGCTTGAAAGTTACAGAGTACCGCCATTATTAGTAATATCCAAGGTGTCCGACCAATGACAAAAACCTTTTAAATATTAAAATATTAATAAGGGCTACGAGCCAAAACAATATTTTAGTAATATAATAAATATTTTTATATTTTTTGAATGTTGCTCAGGAATATGTCCTAATATTTGTCAAGATCAAGGCCATTGGAGAGATTGTTCCTCTTATTTTTATTTTACGTAAAAATGAATTTTTAATGCAGAACTTGACCTGACTGACGATGCCACCCAAAGTCAAATTGATATGATTGATAACTAGATCTTTTTATATCCCACACTTTGAAACATTTTTCCTATAAATCAACACATTCCTGAGATAATTAGTGGTTCCGGGACTTTTAGACCTTACTGTACATTTTGCGAATTATGAAAGAAAGCATGTGACTAACACATACAATTAAATGAATTAAAAAATAACATAAGTAATATGTATTTGAAATAGGTGGAACATATGTAAAACTAGAAGCTGAGTTTCGCGAACAGCTGGCCCAAACATGTAAATATAAGAATCCTTCAACAGGAAAAACTCGTATTAAGTCAAGTAAACCTTAATTTGTAAGTAGACACAATTAAAAATTCGTCTGAAGTATTGTTGAAGTAAAAATTTCGTGATTTTATATAAGAAAAAAATATGTGTGCGTGTGTGTACACACACACACACACGCGCGCGCGCGCGTTATATAACTCTTATTAATTGATAATTAAATAAGAAACAGGATAATTTTAATTTTTTTTCTGAACTCATATGGTTTATTAAGATATAAAGTAAATAATTATGAAATATAAAGCTGTGTGAATAATTTATGTATTACTTTTAGTATTGTAGTACTTATACAAAATTATAATGAGAATCCATATTCGATATTTTGTGTAAAAAAAATTTGTATTTTATTTTATTGTATATATTATCGACTTTTATAAATTATAAGTATCATAACCTTTTCAAAAAAAAACCTATACATTAGTAATCATATCACTTCTATCCAACAAGTTGTTCAATTCCATCTCTGTAAAAACTACAAAAAAAGATTAATTTACTAATTTTAGCAATTTATATACTTTTATTATTTAAACAATGTAATAGTAAGAACATACCTTCTTTTTCAGATGTAATAATTTTGTATTCTTTGGATTCCATTAGACTTTTCAAATCGAATAGCATATTTCTATCAAAACTTAGTTCTTTTGACATAACTATTTTCTCTAACATACGTTTAGTGTCGGCTCGTTTCATAATTGCTTCATCAACTGTTCCTTTAGTGCACAGCTTGTAGATAACGACGGGTTTTGTTTGCCCTATCCTATGACATCGAGCCATAGCTTGTATGTCCACTTGTGGATTCTGTAAGCGTTGAAAAGCAAAATGAACAAAATATGGGATATTAGCATTTGGAGAAAGTGTTGAAAATTACATTGATATTATAATAACTCACCCAATCACTGTCATATATAATAACGGTATCAGCACCCATTAAATTTAAACCAACTCCACCAGCTCTAATTGATATAAGAAATAAGAACATATCAGGATCGTTATTAAAAGTACTAATATTTTGTTTTCGTTTTTCAATCTCAGTATGACCATCTAATCTCACATAATTATAATTTCGTAACATAAGATAATCTTCAATCATATCTAAGATCATAGTCATTGTCGAAAATAATAAAATTTTGTGCCCTTGCAGTTTTAGTTTTGTCAGCATTGCGTCTAACACTAAAAGTTTACCGGAGGATTTAATTAAATCATCATCGATTTTTGGTAAACCAGTTGGATCCAGCGGGTAGTGAACCAAGTATGGATGATTCACGATCTTTTTATACATTGGAACTAGAAAATATAAATAAAAGCGAAATAACATATACCGTGAAAACTATATGAAATATTGCGTTAATGCGACAATACTTACGTCTATAATGACTCGAAATATTGACAGAAAACTCTCTTTTACGTTCTGTGACATCAGTGTATTGTTTCCATTTCGATAAATTGTTTGTAGATTTCTGTTCAATATTATCATTTGTTTGTACCAAACTGTTCAATACTGTATCCTTGTTCGTTTTAGATCCGTACGGACTTCTCATAAAACACTGTCTTTTCGGTCTTTCACCATTTACGGTTGGTATAATCAGATTCGGTTTTTCAATTTTACTCAGCATTTCTATATCGTGATTTAATACTGCCTTGTATAAATCGTGTTGCAATTCCGTGAGTGGCGCATAAACAATTAATTCTTTCTTAGGAGGAATTTCTAAACAAACTTCGGATTTTACTCGTCTTAACATAAATGGTTTTAAAATTTCACGCAACGACGACAATACATGTTTCTCTTCTTCCTGTTTCAAAAGTTTTTCAGTGCCATGTTGATGTTGAAGTTCATCAACGTTAAACCACGATTCAAACGTATCCAAATCATCAAAGATTTCTGGTAATAGAAAATTCAAAAGAGCCCATAACTCGGATAAATTATTTTGAAGTGGAGTCCCAGTTAATATTAGTCTGTTCATGGATCGAATACTATGTAACACCCTAAAAAATAAACGTTTTATAACAATCTTAATTTTAAGAGAAAAATAATATAAAAGTCTAATTAATTGAGAAAATAATTTTCGAAATTAGTTATATTTCTTGTGTGTGTGTGAGAGAGAGAGAGAGAGAGAGAGAGAGAGAGAGAG